AGTTAATGATTATTACAGCAACCAAAATTAATGAACCGTTAAAAGGATACGTTAGAACAGTTTGATCGACGGTGGTGGAGAATGCACCGAAGACAAGAATAATTCCACGTGGCAGTGTCTCGATTTTGATTAGTTGGATGAGTAATGGTTACACGTTAAAACAAGTAAGTTGGTACTTGATGGGGTCCGATTTCCATCCTGCATCGATGGTTTTAGCGTCGGTGGGCACGCCGCGCGTGACTCTTCCTTTTTTTTGCTTCTTATTTTCTAGAATTTTCTGAACCCCAAATATATTAAAAAGAAAAATGGACGAGCACAGTGACGTTAGTTTTACCTCGAGGGAGAGGGTCAAAGGTCAGGGATAACAGATTCTTGTTCCGTTAACGTCCGTGGTAATTATTTCATTGTGATGAGTTGTCTGTTCCGTCCCTTCCGAGTACCGGCTTGGAATATTCTTATGAGGTAACTGGGATAGGATTGTCTACGGTGAAATTAGATTGGTTAATTTTGACATTGATTAAAAAAATACTAGAAGTTATAATAATTTAAAATTATTTAAATATGAAATAATTTTTAACAAATGACATGAATTTGAGATGAATCGATCTAAAAAATTAATAAAGACATTGAGATAGTTGAGACCCAAAATAGTTTGAACTTGAAACAATTTGGTCCCAAAATAATTTAAAAATTTTAAAACTCTAATAAATAATCTAAAAATAAAGGGTAAAATATACAAATCGTCCATCGACTATAGAGTGCCGCTTTGTTGAGTTTTTTTACTATTAAAAATTATAAAATGATCCTCCAATTATATGATATTATTTTGTTGAGTCGTTGTATATTAAAAATTAGAAAATGGTCATTCGACTATTGATATATTCCAAACTCGTTCTTTTTATTAAATAATTGACGATCATTTGAGCTGAACGTTAACTTGTTGATTGTGATATGATAAAATCATATTTTAATGATGTCTAATGGCACCACCATTGCTTTTAAGCACTAACTCGACGATATAATATTTCAAGCGCCGACTCAACGTTATAATGTAAAAGGAGAATCGATCCATAAAATGTTGCTCAAATAGTTTTGGGATTAGATTTTATCATAACCTAATCAATATGTTTACGTCTAGTTCAGACGAGCGTAAATTTTTTAAAGAAAAATAACAAGTTTGAAACATAGGAATAGTTGGATGACCATGTTTGTAACATTTAATAATCAGGGGACTAAACAAATCAATATCCTATAATCGATGAATCATTTTAAAACTTTTAATAATTAAATGACTCAACAAAACAACATTCTATAGTTTAGAGATTATTTGTATACTAAGCGCTAAAATTAATTGACCGTCTAATCCGCAAAAGTAGCGAGAATATAAATCTTCATATTAAGAATTAGTACAAATAAATAGTAGATGAAATAGAAAATAATATTCAATCAATCTATTAAAAAACAACATTTAATCATTAAATTTAATAACTTTTTCCAACTCAGTTCCTCACCTTGTATATTGTTAATGACTAAAATGTATGAGAAGATGTAAACTTTGAGATTAAGTTAAAAAAATCTATCAAAATCTAAAACCAACTTGGATTAAAAAGGGAGAAAGTAGTTTAAGGGTTCAATGTTACTTTATCCTTAAATAAAAAGAAAATAATATATCATGAATCTGAAAAATATATTAAACTATAATCTTCAATATTAAAACTCAAATTATTATTGTATATTAAAATAAACTTTTTTTATCAAAGTTTATTTTTTTATATTTAATATTTTTCTTATACTTCCTCTACCATATTTTTTCACGAGTTGAATCTTCCACCAATATAGAATTCCAAAATAAGAACATTGATCAAATCCACTAAAGGTTTATATACTCCAATCAACAACGATCTTAGATATGATATTTAGCAAATTCATGTAGTATATCAGAATCAAATCTATTGTTGGACGCTCGTATTTATTCAACCTAATCAGCCTACGATAAGTAATCATGACACTAGACATGATACATACACTAAGGGTCAATATATAACCCCACACAAGACTAAGGGGTCTTCTTTCTCTTATTCTTTTTATCCTCTAAGGGAGAGAAAACCATTATCATCGACATACTACTTCTCTTTCTTCACCTAAATTAGAAAGGGTGAACCGCCTATAGCAGCCACAACTCAAATGTTATTATCAACAATTTGTACTTCATTTGGATCTCAGTGTGAGTCAAATCCTTTTCATCCCTAAGACTTCGAAAGAACTCATCCGATCGAATCCTCGAGAGGCTCATATTATCCGGTCAACAACAACCTTTGATATGAAATGTGACAGATTCACGTGGTCGGTCTAAGTCAAATCTACCGTCAGACGATAAATTTATTCACTATATCAACTTATGAGTAGCCATCTCGATATAAGGGTCAGTATATAAACCCATCGTACCAAACCAAAGGGTCGTAAAAACAAATGTTGAATTCTTTTATTATCATCGTACAGTTGTTGGTAAATTACACATTTAGTATTTCAATTATCATTTCTATTTTTCTTTAGTTACTTATTTTTTTTCAAAATCATATCTAACGTTTAATTTTGATTTCATTATTACCACCCACTGTTAAAAAATTAACGGTGATATTTATGTGTTAAGATAATGTCATATCATCATTTAAAAAAATACCACGTCAGTAGTTATGTTAAATTTTTAATGTTAGGTGACCAGAATGAAACCAAAACTAAAAGATAGGTATAATTTTGAAAAAAATAGTTATGTGACTAAAATGAAATAAAATTGATAGTTGAAGTACTAAATGTATAGTTTATCCTACAATTTTTCCCATTTTTTGTTGGTGCTTGCGGGCCCATGATTCATCAAATTCTTTTTCTAACGGTAAAAACCGTTGGCACAGCCACTGGCGCCAATTTCGCTCAACAACCGCCATCTATAATATTATGTAATTAAGGCTATAATCATCCCAATTTATATTTGAAATGATTTAACGCATGAATACTACAAATAGAAAAAACAATTAGAAATTTACATGACCATTTTAAATGAATTACGAATTTTTCTATCTAAATCATGATCAATGGACAAGCATCAAGATCTGTGATTGAAATCTTTGGGGTTTCTCAAGTAAATCAATCAAGCTGACACAATCACATAATTATGTTCTGTAATTGCTGTTCTAAAAGGGTTAACGTAGGATTGTTTTTATAAAGAAAACCCATGAGTATTATTTAAGCCCACTAAAACAACAATTAATTAAGTGATAATGGGTATTAAATTTAACGTGCTTAATATTTTTTAAGAGAGTCTTTAGAAAATTATATCTTAAATGACAGTGAGATTTAGAATTAAATCGGGTCAAACCATAAAATAAAACAAGTAAAATTTTCAGTTATTTTGTCTCTCTCATTTATAGTTGTCGTTTCTTTTATTTACATTTTGATTCGACTAGTTTTGGTATTAATGGTTGATAGTCTATATCTCTTGTTTTTCATTTACTTTCTGACTCTGTTTTGAAAATCGGACCGGATCGGTCGGTTCAATCGGGAATCGTTGTTTAGTCCGGTTCAATCTAAACCGGTTGAACCGCTATTAGTGAACCGGCCAGAACCGTTGAACCGTTCGAACCGGACCGGCAGAAAATCGAAAAAACCAGAAAAAACTGGGAAACATCGGAAAAAACCGGGATTTTTGTTTTTTTTAAAAAAAAAATTAAATCAAACAACGTCGTTTTGTTAAACGAGCCAAGTCGAACTTGAGTATTGCTGAGCTCGACTCGAACTTGAAAACTTTAAAAGTAAGCTCAACTCAAACTCACAAGCTAAAAATTATCAAGTTCAACTCAAACTCGAAATATAATATTGAAACTTGAACTCAAAAATGCTTGAACTCAAAAAAAAATTAGAAGCTCGATTGAAGCCTAAAATTCGAGCTTGATTAAAGTGAAAGAATAGTTATATAATTATAGTTATATAATTTTGTTATGATTTTTTTAACCCCAAATTTATTTTTTAATTATAGTTATATAATTATATTTATTATTTAATATGTTTTACCATAAATATTATGTTGTAGTTAATTTGAATCATTTTGTTTCACTTGATTTTATGGTTTTTAACTTATATATGTTATGATATAAAAAATTATTTTTTATTAAATATTTTTGGTATTTTTATTTAATTTTTTAAATAATTATGACGTCGTCCGGTTCTTCCGACCGGTCGGACCAGTTCGACCGGTTGAACCAGTGAACCAGTAGCATGACTGGTTCGCTAACCGGTCCGGTTCTGAAAACCATGCTTTCTGATATTCATATACTTTTTGAATTTCTCTTAGTTTATAATAATTATGCCTTTATGACGTTTTTTTTGTTTTTATGATACGTTTTCTTCTGTCTTCATGACTCTTTTTTGGTCGTTTGATGGTTTTTTAAGAACCAAATTTGACATATCTTCAACTGATCAAGATGACACATATTTGTTATCTCATTGATCTTCTTGCTTTGGACCCTCGGATTGGATTTAGATACATGGTTTGAGTTTGTAGATAGTTTTTTCATGACGCTCATCTCCGATTTACAGTTGTTGATGGTTTTTTAATAGTTTTATCCCCTATTGTAGTTCGTTTTTTATGCAGTTAGATTTGTTAATATATATCTTTTGTTAGAGTTTCTTGGATGATTTCTAATATTTTCCTTGTATGATCCTTGAATGATCTCAAGTGTCTAGTGTAACACCCTTAACCCGTACCCGATCCGGATACGAAATTCAAAGGTGTCACATTGACTTTTCAAAAACATGTGTAATTAACAAATAAGAACAATTTAAAAGTATTGATCAATATAAAAAGGTATCAATCTTAACTTAAATAAAATAACCATTTCACATTCATATTTACATAAAAGCTTTGATAGTTTACATAAATACAAAATATATGAGTTTACAAAATCGATCAGAGCATTTCAAATTAAACGTATAATACATGCCAACAGTTTACAAAATTAACACAAAAACCTACATTTAATTTGTCCTGATATGATCTTCAAGTAGTATGCTATCCTCAACCAATCAGTCTTCCACTTTCTTCAAACCTACGCATGAGAAAATCACACGCTAAGTCGATGACTTAGTGAGGCAAATACTAATAGTGCCAACTTATTAAACGAAATCTTTATTGGTTTTTATCAAAGCATTTATAAAGCATTTCAACTTATTTTCCATATCAAAATGATATATTTATACATATACTATTCACTTCGTTTAGCTTTGTTCCAAATGCCCAATGTATACTACTGAGAACTCTAGGTATTTGAGTACATTGAGGTTGTACACTAATGTTGTCACCACAGCTCGTAATTTGCACCGAAGTGTCACATAATTGTCCCAAAGGACCACATAGGTTTGCACCGAAGTGCCACATATTTGTCCCGAAGGACCACATAAAACCCTCGACTCTTGGCATGCCAATTATACTGCTAATCCTCATACATATACCTTGGGCTATTAATCACATAATTATTTTCAATCATTATTCGATGTGTCTCTTATTCACATAGTTACTTTCACATAAAGTCTTTTCGCATACACTTGTTCAAAGTTCACATTTCCATAATCATATGATAAGAAAACATAGCTTATATAATATAAATTGAATAAAACATTGCAATTAACATAAAAGAAATTATAAAGTTTTCGATCGAAATCACTGAGGTTAGCTTATCGCAAGCCTTCCTCAATTTTGTTACAAAACCAAGAAGTTGCACTCACCTTTGCCTCACTGAAGTTCTAAGCAAAATCCTTAACACCTTCGAATCGATACTTAATATGTCTAGCTGACCGGAAGTTGATTACGTTCAACCAGTACACAAAACCAATCAAAAATCAATATCATTCTTCAAATCACTTATATCCCATCAAAATAACTTATGATGCAAGAAACACTTAATTTTCATTTCATGCCTAGAAGTATCGGTACTACCACTACAATACCGATACTTACCTTTAGGGGTATCAATACCTCCTCAAGGTACCGATATCATTCCGAGGTTCTGGAATTGTATCTTGAAAATGGTATCGATACTACACACTCAGTATCGATACATTCTTCAAACGGTATCGATATTGTCTTAAGAAAACCACAGATTTAACCCTTGAAGTATCGATATTGTTCTAACGGTACCGATACTCGAAGCCTAAAATAGATATTTTCACTTCGAAAATAACCCAAAATCCTCATAAATCTCTTATATTCATCACACCTTAAGCCTTTAAACTCACCCTTATACTTCCAACCCAACTTGTCCTCATTACTACTCCCTATCATACAAAATTTCACTAAAACACTTGCATCTAAAAATCATACTATGTTTTCAACAAAACTCTTAATCATTTCTAATACTCATAATCATTTAGTTAGCTCATTGACAAGTCAAATATCTCAATAAAACTTCAAAAACTATTCCATATCAAAATTTCATTTCTAAACCCATTTTACAAATTTATCTCTAATTTACTTTTTTTGTTGTTCTACTAGTATACAAGCTTTCCTTAAGCTTATGTAGCACTTAAGCTTCAAAACTAACCCCAAAATTTAAGGAAAACAACCAATTTCAGAATCTTACCTTTGGGAGTGGAGTTCACGACAGAGGAAGAAGAAAAGCAAGGTTTTCAGACTTTTCTCCCCATATACACGTGCTTATCCCTTAAAAGAAACATGAGATAAAAATCTTTTATGGAGAAAAGACCATATTGCCCCTCTTATAATCCAAATTTGATATCATATCCTAACCAAAAAAATTTACAATAAGTCTTTGAATTTTTTAAATTATTCTAATTAAACCACTAAATTTTGAGTTCTTACATATTGGTCAATGACCCGCTGATTGGGATGTTATATCTAGTTTATTGATCAACGATTATAAGAAAATATTCTAATTACGTGTATAATTTTCGAACATCATTGTAATTTTGAATATTTTCTCCTTTTTAGTAAAGTTAACGGCTCTATTTGCATATAAAAAAATTACCTCCCTTGTAGGAGGCGTTTGTTACTTTGTTTAGGTGGAGACGCGGCGGTTCACCTCCCTCCTCTGCTCTGCTCTGCTCTACTCGTTCTTTCGGAGGTTTGGGTTCTCTGATTTTCTTGGACTTTTGATCCATGGGGCCGTTGTTCTTATCTTCCTTGTTGGGGCCATGTCCCATGTGTGTATCCACTCCTTTCATGGAATGTTATTAATGCTTACCAACTCTAAATATTTTGCTCAATGATTGTTGCATACCATTTATAAGTGGGTCGGGCGATTCATTCAACTCCACTTAGGCCGGATTTGAATAATAAAGTTTTCATCTGAAGTCCTATATTAAAAATATTTTTAATTTACATTTAATTATAAATATTTAAGATAGCTAAACTATTATTTTTGTTTTGTCAACTTATTTTTTCAAAATCATATTTAACATTTAATTGAAAACGAATCTGGAACCATTAGTTACATTCTGGTGACGATATTATTGGAGGCAGTACCACAAATGTTGTTATCAAACTGAAAGCAGAAGAAAACATAATGAATTGAATCTTTTAGGCATGAAAGTTGGATTATATGATCCCCACTTGCATTCAATATACAAGGACCAAAGAGAAGGGTCCCAAGGACCTCTATTGCTATTAAACAAAGAAGGCGACATGAGAACTAACACCATAACACTCATCCCCCCATCTTCCTCAAAAGATCATTGCTTTGATGCAGCTATACAAATCCCATTCCCAATGGCTCCTTTCTGGTGTGGGGATAAAACTTCCAATGTTTCTGTCTGTTTATATCTATCAAATTCAAACTATATTCGGTTCTTTAATACTACTGTGTTTCATGGATGGGCCAAACTTCCGGTAGTTGCTCAAGGGGGTGACCTTGAGTGGCAGCTTCTTCTTCATCTTAACTGTCGGAAAGTAAACGATTTCGTCCTCGCAAGCTACCCATCTGCATATAGAACAAGTTAACAAAAAAACAAGGGGCTGTTTTCGAATTTCGACATAACTGTAAGAGATGGCGAAATCTGGAAAAATTCAACCATGAAGAACAATATTTTAGATAGAATTACTTGTACGTGGTGACGAGATGGTGAAGGAAGATTGAAATTTCAAGCCTTGATAATTCTAAACCAGGGCAAAGCCTCTGCCCACCTCCAAATGGTGTAAAGCTGCTGTTGTTAACAGCAGCTCCCAGTTTCTGAAAAAACAAACAAATTAAACCCTTTAATTTTCTCTTAAATTTATATTTTTTTTTACGACTTTAAGGAATCAAATTGCTCTGCAACTATTTTAAGTTAGACCTCCCATCTCCATGGATAAAAAAGATGTGGATTTTCATAAATTTCCTCATCCATATGAGCAGAAATAAAAGATGCCAGTACGCACCATCCCTTTGGTATTAAATAACCTGCAAAAACAATGTTCTTAAATGATTTCCCCCCATTGTTTATGCAGATTCAAGTTCAAAGCAACACTAGAATGAAACTACCTTTAATATCTATATCTTTAAGTGCTTTCCTCCAAACACCATTGATGATGTTTGCCAGTCTAAGGGTCTCACTTATCACCTAACAAATAGGGAAAAAGAACATATAACAAATTCACTAGAATCCAACTATAACAAGGAGGGGAAAACAAAACCTTGAGAGCATCTTCACTAGAATTTGCGACTCACATTTTGAGTGAAAGGCAAAGCCAAGTAGTCAGTCCAACTATAATCTTCACCAGAATCCTTCTTTTGCTTCTTTAGTCCCATGTTCTCCTCCTGCAGATATCAACATCAAAACTATACATTAAAAATCTTCTCTTTCTCTCTTTTGCTTCAAAAAGAAAAATTACTAAAAAAACCTTGCTTTTTCAATGAAAGAAACCAAAACTAATGCCATCGGATCACTTTAACTTCGTTGTTTCTTCATGAAGTAAAAAAGGAACTGTCAAGTATATTTAGTTCTTTTTTTCCCCAACATTTTTCTCTTTAATTCTAATCTTAAAAGATTGCCCCCATGAAACTTCTTCTTCATTTACTTTCTCCAGCAGAGAGATCTTAACATGAAACCAAACCAACTTACAATTTTTTTGTACTTATTATGTAGTTTCCATGTCTTTGAGATAAATGCAGAAATCCTCTTAATAAACAACATGGTTTCGGATACTTTCTTTTTGTATATATAAAAAAACTCAAGTTTCGGTTTAGAAATTGTGATCCCAAAAGTACAAATGGTAATGTCAAAAGAAGGGTTCATTGAAAAACTGACAAAGGGAAAGGAAAATAAAAAAAAAATAAGGGGAGTGACAGTACTATCTCTTACAGGCCAAAGTATGGTCTATTTTATGACAGAACTTGGGGCCCTCCATACGTACAATCTGTCTTACACGTGTATGTACTCGTGTGTCTAATGAAAAATATGGAGCCATGAAGAGACTTTTGCATTTCCAAGGGGGAAAAGTTAAAAAAAGTCAAATACTTAGCTTTGGCATCCCACTCTTGCAGATGAAATCAAAACAATCCTAACCGTCGGATGAAAAAAAAGGAAAAGGTAAAAGTATGATACGTACCATCAACTGGTGGAGTGCAATAGGGCAGTCACCGAGGAATTTAACAGCTAGGGTCATCGCCATGGGAACAGTCTCTTCTCCAGGGATCATCATCTCTATTACGTTCCCACTGATGAAATCCAACGGTAGAGATTGCTTCTCACTTGACTCTTCACTGTCACGTAACAGCACCTCCACTGCATCCCTGGCCATACCCTTTTCGTCCGTTTTCTCCATAACCAATTTCCTCTCCTCCACTATCTTCTTCACCATTTTCAGTAACCTTTCTTTGGCCTACAATGAAGCAAAAAAACAAACCTACTGAAAAAAATTGCTTTTATACAAACATGTAGAGATGTATATATTCACCTTCAGAGATTTATATAGTCTTGTTCCTGGAAATTTGATGGGCAAACAAATTAAACCTTTGATGAATTCTTCGAATTCTCTTTTCAAAAAGTTCAAATCTTCACCGGCACCAACACTCATCAAAACATTCACCAAAACCTCGAATGTTATCTGACATTTCCATGAACCATAGTCAGACATTTATGTGTTATGTTTGGAATTAATAATACATATATGTTTGATTCGAAAGAAGGAACCTTTTTGGTTTCTTCTTGAACATGTAACAGCTGCATGTCTTGCCACGAACCCAGAGTTAATTTGACAGTGTTTTCGATATGCTTCGTGATACGGGTTTTAAGCTGTGGTGATCTCAAGAAACCTCCAATTAGTGCATGGACTCGCTTCTGGAGATTACCATTCATTTTAAGTATGGAATGTTCGCCAAGCAACTCTTGGATGGATTTGGGATAAGCGGGGACGAAGATGTTGCCAATGTTCTGCAAAACCACCTTGTTTACATCGGGATCTGTGGACACAATGATGGGTGTTCCCAGTAAATGTGTTTTGAACACCTTCCCATGCCTAAAAAAAGACAAACATAAACAAAGGTAGCAAATGATTTGTCTTGCTTTGTTGCTTGCAGTTGAAACTCGAAAGGCTTAGTTTTCATTGCTTTTGTTTCGTTGATTTAGGTTCATTGATGGAAGAAGAACCATAGTCCAAAACAGGAAACAAAACGGTAGATTTTCATTGAAAAGCTGAAAACAATGGAGAATAGGAGCTGAAGTTCACGGCCTGCAACTAAGCAATGGAGCTTCTACAACTATGGCAATTGCTCAAAGTTCGTACTTGCAAGCTTTAATGGCTTTTTTCTTAATTCAAAAAACAAAAACAAAAAATCTTTTTCACTACAACATTTTAGGCCATGTCACTTATGGATGTAATCGGAGCAGGCAGCTGTCGTTGTTCATTAATGAAGAATTTCTTCTTGGGACATATATCATTTAATGAAAAAAAAAACAAACTACTTCTTGTATGCATATGATAATGCCATTGCCATGCATCTCATGTAACTGCAAACTTTGGGAGCAATTATATTATGTTATGTATATATATATATATATATATATTAACTTTACATAAAATAATAAGAAATGATGATAATTCCCATTTATTTAAAACAGGAAATAACAAAAAATACAATGATGGGGACGTTGATGAAGTGATGATTTGCATATCTGTCTAGGGTTTCCATCATCAAAGAGAAAAACATAAGTTCATTTAATATTCTCAGTTATCTGAATTAATTAATCGAAATAAAGTCTGACATAAATATTGAAAACTAGTTAGGAAAAATATATGAACAAAAAGAATTTAATTTCCAGTGTCGTTATAAACACTTGATTTTAAAAAAGATGAAAACATAAATACTATAGGAATACTAAGATGGAGTCATGGAGAAAGCAGATAAAAGAAAAAGGACAATTAGCAAAGAAGAAGACGATTACCAAAAACAAAAGTGAAAAGGAAAATGAACAGTGGATTAAAAGAAAGAGGGGGGGGGGAAGCTTACAGAAGCTTGCGTTTGTCCATGAAACTGACAGGTCGAGAGGTGTAACCAGAAGCTATGAAGTCAAGAGTTTCACCAATCAAAGGCCAACCCAAGTTCCCTTTTGGCACTCCACAATTATTCTTTTCTATATTTTCTCTCATCTTCATCCTCATCTTGTTGTACCATAACAATCTTAAAGAAATACCCATCATCATCATCATCATCAACAATCCCATGCCCCATACCATCTTCTCTGGAAGAGCCAAACACTAGCTGTAGCCAAGCTTTTCTTCTGGTTTGACAGTTCATTCACTATGAAACTACTTTATATACATGATGAAGCTCTTTGATAGACAGAGAGAGAGAGAGAGAGAGAGAGAGAGAGAGAGAGAGAGAGAGAGAGAGGGGGGGGGAGGGAGGGAGAGAAATTATACTTGGCAACTTAGTAATAAGGAGGTGGGATAAAGGAAAGGAAAAGAAAAGAAAACTAATTTGTTATTGTGAAGGGGCTAACTAGGGAGAGAGATTCCGAAGATCTAGAGGGGTTGCACCTATCATTTAATGAGTTGGCCACATTGGGTGCACCAAAAATGCTCCACGCTTGTTCATTGTATTCTCTTCATTTAGATAGAGATATATGTACCCATCCCTGCTGCCCTTTGGCTCACATAATACAATATATATATACACACACACACGAGTGGGGTGGCCTTAATTAAACCCCTTTGTTGCTTCTGTTGTATTAATGAACTTGTTTAGTTTCTTCATCTTTTTAATCATTCAAAATCCAAACTTGGATACACAAATCTTGTTTCCTTTTTCAAGGCTTTTTTCACTCATTAAATTCATAGTTATCTTCTTCTCCCAACATTGAGCATTGGACCATGAAAGAAAGTCAAATCCATATGGCTGACACTTACTACCCACGTGTTCCAAAAGTTGAAAGGAGAAAAAAAAGGTTAAATGAAGCCCATTGTGCCTCACCACCCACCCACTTGTTATCTCTCTCTCTCTCTCTCTCGCAATTTTTATAACACAATCTTTTGGGGGTTAACTGTGGTCCGTTCTCGTGCATGTGAACCATGTGGGGGGTGGTTCTGCCGTTCTGCAATCGAGGCTGGCAAAGAGGGGGAGAACGTGCGGATAGGCTTAACGGATATTGCTAACAATGTCTAAAAGGCAAAAGCACTCCATGACAAAACAACATCAACATTATGAATTTAGTGGAATCATCTTTTTTTCTCCATTTCTTCTTGTAAATGATTCTCATATGATCAGTCAGAAAAAGACAATCTAATTTAGAAGATAAAATGGTTTGTACGTCAACATCACTTTTATGACAATTTGTGCAATGGCAGACGAGATATCATGGTCTTTCAAGCTGAAACAGCAGTTCTAAGCTATAGCAAATTGCAGTCTCTGCAGACCCTACTCTCTTAGTCTCTTGGGCTATGAATACCCTTCCCTTGGGAGGACCAACCTACGTTTTACGTAAAATAAAAAGCATGTGATGATCTATTGATAGGTTAATGTCCTAAAAGAACGTAAATTATGGAGCTATTATGGTATTGGAAATAAGAATGAGTCGAGTTGTTGGCAAATAGAGGAAACCTTAGAAGGCAGCTTGGGGTTTCAAATTCTGTTACTCACGGGTTACTGGTGCTTATCCTTATGCTTCCTCCATATTGTTATTAGTTTGAAGAATTCGAAAGACGATATCCGATTCAATGATTACATCAATTAAGACAAATTTATTTAGAACACAATTAACGTTTGGTTTATTTTTGCAATCAATATTTTACGTAGATGTTTGTTTATTATAAATTTCAGATGTTTAAGAAATTATTTTTTCAACTAGGGTGGAATGTATGGTGCATGGGGAAATCCTCTACATTACCTGACGACTTCTTGAAGTCGACCGAATTGCAAGGCATTTTTCGCATGATGTCTGAACCGAATTTGGAGAAGACGTTATGTCTTGCATGCATCTTACCTAAGTCGTCAGGTGAGAAAATAGTTTTCCCGACGTCCTTTTCAAATACGCATGTTGATGCTCTCCATGACTCAAACGATCTCCCATCCTTTTAGTACTTCTACCATAAGGGTCCAACTAAAATACCTCTTTTCACTTGATTCTGCAAAAAGTAAATGCAGAAATGGATTTTTTTAAAATAACAAAAATTAAGCGATTGGTATTGCAGTCTGCATATATTAATTAATCAATAAAAGTATGACAAAGGCATGATATTTACTTTGTGAAAACCTAAAAGCTACGCATAAGACATGTGATCTATCCTACTGCTACATATTTCTCTTCCAGTGCCAATCAAAAAGCAAAAGTAATTGAACATTTTGTCCAACTTTATTTGTTCAGTGTTATCCCTTATCGTGCAAGTACTAATGAATAAAAGCATATAGCCTCTGCAATCTCAGCACAGTTTAAGATACTAGCCATTAAATCGGACCCACGAATTAATCCCGAATCGGATCCATGATGTATTCCTGTCAACAAAGCCAAAAATTTGATCGGATTCAATCTAATTTGATTATGAAAAATTCATAAACTTGTATTCGTTAGGATTCAAATTCAAGATAAATTTGGATTCGATTAAAACAAGCAGTAGTGAAATATAAGAAGGGATCGGGCCGCCAAACTTTTGGAAAATTATCATTACTCTTTCAAAAAAAATTAAAATTTGCATTTGGCCCTCAAAGCTTTTACAAAAATCTGCTTGGCTCTTAGAATTTTAAAAATCTCATTAAAATATAGGGTAAACTACCTATTTGGTCCCTATCTATTCTCATGTTCCTATTTTGGTCATTCAACTATTTTTTTTCTTTATAAATTATACTTAACATTATATTTTATTTCTTCTTTGGTCATTTGCGGTTAGGTTTGACCGTTGACTTAATGAAAATGATGATATGACATTTGTATAATAACAAATTTTGTCTCAAAATTTACACATTCTATCAAATTAACGCTAATTCAAAATAATCCAAAAAATCCTCAATATTTAGAAATCTTATCAATTTGATTCTCATTTTAATTTAAAATAATTTATTAAAATTTTAAAAATAATTTAGTGGGTTGCCTTCAAAATGGTTGAAGTTTATGGATTCATTGCGTGAATATCCCTTTTTATTTCCATTTTATCTCTATTGATGATCCTCGTGTTCTCCACACCACCATCTTCACGTCTTCATTTTCTCTCTCTTTGTTGTCCAACCTTTTCTTCGCTTTTTTTGTCCTAAATTTCATAGTCACCCCTTTAGGATATCATAACAAAGTCATCACTTATCCGATGATTCCTCGGACTTCCATTGCAGCTTTGCTCACTACCGTCGTCGCAACGTCTCCACACATTCGCCATCATCGTCGTTCTTTTACATCATCTTTTTGTTGTTCCCATCAACTCTCTCTCCTTATCTATCACTCTCACAGTAGCCCGACATTCATTAGCCCTACTTTCCAACCGTTCGTCGAAAATCTAATTTTCAAAATCGAGAAAAAAAATTAATGAGGGGTGCGACTAAGTTCAGTGATTATAAGGCCTGAACGATGATATAAGGGGTCAACGAGGGGTGTGTTACTGACGTGGAAAGGCAACAGTGGCTGTTGAACAAACAGGCAATGACGACGTTAGAGAATGAGTGTTTGGAAAAATGGGGATTTTGAGAGATATTTTAGGATTTTATATTGGACCAAATTGATAGAATTCCTAAATATTAGATATCTCTAATTTGATAGAATGCGTAAGTGTACATCCCAGGCCATTCTTAAATACCAAATATCAAATGTGACCAAAACATAAAATTTGATATAATGGTAGATGTACACCCCTGGGTATTCATGAATAACAAATATCAAACGTGTAATTAATTCAATCAATGGTATGGAAAATTCAAACTCTTTCTCCAACAGAACCTTAGCATTGAATTTGCTCCGGTTCTACATTCTCCTTACAAATGGTTTTCAAAACCGAATCAGACCGACAGATTAATAGAACACTGACAATCCAACCAATTCGACCGGTAGTACAAAATCGGATATCACTATGAACCAATAAAAAACCAGGAATAGGGGGGAAATGGCTAAAAATACCATTTAAAAAAAATCTATGGTTGACCGTGAACCAGTGGTCTAACTGGTTCGATTACCGGCCCAACATTCGCAGCTTAAAAAAAACTTGTTTCCTTCCCAACCATTCTTCACATATTAAAGGAAGTTACTTTGAAGGCTAAAAAAGCATTGATCATAACAACTTCAAGTACATATTTCGGTTAAAATAAGGTGGGAGAAAAGCGTAAATTTCATGAGTTGTGACCTGGGAGTAATTTCTGAATGCTACATCTGGAAATAACAGCAATACAGATGCTTACACCAGGAGACTACAATAGATGAAGCAAAATTGATTGTACCTGTGATTCGTGAGAAGTAAATTAGCAATTTTAGGGGAAGGGCTGCAAAGTTTACACTGAACCATATTTGCTTTCACTGGGTGTCCATGTTCCTTGAGCAGCACTAGATGGGCGCTCCCATGAGACCTCATTGGCTGACCCAGTGTTAACATCCTCTACTCTCGAGTAGCCTTGCCCTGCTCCACTCACCTGTTATACGCATTTTGCACATTAATGGGAAGCGATATATGGAGAAATGAAGTTATTGAATTTAGAAGGTGCCAACTTTGCAAGTTCTCAATGTGGGAATGAAAGTTGTAATACGGAAAGAGAATTAATTTAAGAAGCAATGATAATTAGTCACTCTGGAAGTAAGTTATTCAAGTTAGCCACGGGGAATGATTTGAATTCTCCAAAGCAGCTATTAATTGCCTGAGAAGATCTTTGAAACCTCTGGTAATATTATTTGTCATAAAAATTATATAAACTTACGGTCTCTAAACAGGCAGAAAGAATCGTCATGCCCGGCAGTGCATCAATCCCAAGCTGCATCCAAGACTCCAAGTAAGATATACATAAGTTTTTTAAACTAACACAATATTCCTAAACTATACAATCTTCTGGCCAAAAAAGTAAACTATAGTCTAAACAGCTCACCTGGCGTCCCATTTGTGTCTTGTAAATAAACCCTACACGGCAAAATAGCGTTGACGACACCATTAATCTGCCCAAGACAAACTTATTTTAATAGAAAAACATGGGAGCAATTCAGACATACGGTAAATTTCAGAACAAAAGTAAAAAGTTCAACTTTCATTTATCTTCGGTAGCAGACATAGATGCCCCAGAAAATATAGGAAATATGCAAATCATAAGTGCCAAACTCCATGCCATATGCATGGTTTGAAGTAAATTAAAGACAATTAATCTGTTGTTGGGAACTTGTTTAAAACACTGCACCTGGTGCAGTGACCTTTTAACTACTTGAGATAGCATGGCTTAACACATGTAGGACAACTGAGGAAAAAAATAGGAGATTTCCATACATGCAAGAAATTATTCCGAATATTGCCCACCCTCTCGTAGCATCTTCTTCCTGATTTTGTGTGTATTCTGAAAATATCAAGGGGAAAAAACTTTTGAATTAGCTGATACAAGCTTTATGGAAAATGCATCACTATTACCAGAAAGATGCTGTAATGGACTACAGAAAAATGATAGTTGATAAAAGCTAGCATCCGAGAAAAAAATCAGGGAGCTTACCGCACATCTTTGTTAGAACAAACTCTATTGGTTCGTAGCCCTCTACTGGAATAGAGATCTTAACTTTATATGGGGAATTGTGGGCCTTTATACCTGAAGAATAAAAGTAGGGGAAAAATAGGATTACAAATGCTAATTCAGCAGATTATAATTGAAAATAACATCAACCTGCTTAAGAAAATGTTGCATATACATCTCCAATCTAGAAGTAAAGTCGAGGGAGATAAAGTTGTAGGCGGCTTCCCAGTTGCCCCACTGCCTGATAACTTAACCTCCGGCCCATTTTCTGGAAAGACCTGTGAAGGGTCTCATTTAAAAATGAAAAGGTAAAAAGCATATTCATCCAATAATTAACAGTTTTCTACTCCTTGAACCAAAGGAAAGATTACCTTGACAACAGGTTTTTGTACAAGATTGGATCGGGATGCAATAGCAGTCAGATAAAGCGTAACATGATGCTGTTCAGTGCTGAAACTGTTCACGGAAACATTTAAAACTATTCATAAAATGTTGACACACGAATAGATAAACTCGATAATCTACTCATAATAGTGATACTATACCTAAAATCACGGTGAGATTTTTCAAAACCCAACTGAGTCAGGCCATTATAAACCTTCAAAACAATAAAAGGAAACTTTTGAATCAAATAGTTTTGGCATTTAAATCAAAGTAATCCAGATCAAATGTAAAATTCTTACAATTTCCCATGATCGTGGATGAAATCCAACAGTAAAGCCCTCAAATATCCGTGGGCCTGATTTCTCACAGGGAATGGCCAAGTCAACAATGACTCTGAGAAAAATAAAAATTTCTAAGTTTAGAAATGTACTGTAAAACAAATCTCAATTAATAATTTGAAGAAATTGGATGTAAACTGTCTAATAAAACAATTAGTCTTGTGCCTTGGCACCAGGAATAAGTCTCCATACATCATGATTTCCATATACTGCACAAAACTTAAAAAGAAATGTTTGGAGAAAAGGAATGAAAAAGACAGGTTACGGCACTGCTTGAAATACCTGCAAGTGGATTCATAAGTGACATTGCATATGCAACTTTGTTGGCCTGAGATTAACACCAAAGACAATGAAAAAAATGTTAGAAGTTGATATAAAACAGGCACTGGCAGTTAAGATTAAAACACAAAACAGTTAATGACCTATATAACGAAATCATCCAAATTAATAAAGCCTTCCCTAATAATTCTGGGTAAGAAATGAAAACTTGAACAAATTCATTGGCAATCGGTATGGACACAAAAATTGAAAAGAAAATGAAATGGAAGAAATTTAGAAAAGATAAATGCAAAGAAACTAAGTTATCATAGTCTTTTATGTTTTAATTTTATGTCATTTATTCACAGCAATGTCTTCATAAAGGTTATGTGATAGCTGCATAAAATTTGACCAGAGGAAAACACTGTTGAGTAAACAAGGGTGGATAATCATTTTAACCCATTTTACAAGGACATAGGGAAAATAAGTTCCTAGAATATACAGGAATAAGATATTGAAGACTGGATATGAAGAGTTTACACACCTTTACACTGCCCATTTAAACAATTTCCGCATATAATATTTACCCGAAATACAATCAAGGATATTCATTAATATGCATAAACAAAAGCCATGATGAAATTTAATGTTCAAGTTCACATAAATAATGACTCCACGAAAAAACTGACTTATAAGAACAGTAATGTCAACCAAGTTCCCAAAAAATTGAGAAAAAAACAGTAGCCACTAGACTAACCTGTGCAGTGCGTCCCATTTTGTCAAAGGTGTGCTCACAATTCAGCAGGTCGCCATTGTAGAACTCCTGTAGACGCAGAGAAAGTAGATTTAACAGGTTATATATATATATATAATAAACATTACAGAGTTGAAACTTAAACATGATTGAAATATTTCAATCTCAGAATGATTTACAAATATAAAAAGGATCATGTGTATTTGTATCTTCTAGATGCTTCATCTGAAGCCCAAGAGTTTGCTAAAGTTGGACTTGGAGCCAAACAACAGTTTCATATAACGAGCTAAGAGGCAGCAACAACATTTGTTATTTAAAGTTTTCACTTCAAATAACAGTAATAAATTGATTTTAAGGGCCGGAATCTTCTAAAAATGTTAGTATTTCTTTCTGTCTTCCTAACCAGTAACAACCAAAAAGTTTCTACAGCAATATTATCAATCATTCATTCCCATTTTTAGCAAGGAGAGATTCAGCATACCCCTTCACTTTTATAGTTGTTACTGCACAAACAAAAGTTCAAACCAAACAGACTTACTTGAACAAGATAAACATGCCCTGATCCAGAAACAGAGTAGTTATACTTATCATATCGACCAAAATCTACATATCCCTGCATAATTAGCATTACACGTGGAGTGAATTATTCAGAATGCAAGCAAGAAAGTGCAAATGAATACTTTAAACTAATTAAAACATTTTTAAAGCAAATTCCTCAAAGAACTTCCTTGTAAAAAAATTAAATATAAGGATATTGATGTAGTACTTGAGCACATGAAGTTAAAGACTACCGTTTGTGATCTACTCTCCACATCTTTGCAAAAGCGGATCACCAAGTCAGAGTCCTGCATTAGAGGAAATACAGAAATGCAATATGCTCAAAAAGAGAAATGGAAGACTTCCTATATTGGAATCGAGCAAGGATGTTACTTTCCCCTCATGTGCAAAAGGAACACCAACCCAATCACTCTAGTCAATAGCTTAAGAGAAACATTTTACTAGCTTCCAAAACTCTAGTCCATGGAAATGGAAATTTTGAGCCATAAATGTTCATTGAGAACCAACCAATATTCAGATTTGTATGCAAAATTTACTATAAGAACAAGTAACCAAGGATACGAAATCAAGAAGCCTGCTAAAATTATCGAGGGCGTAGCAATTGGATTTTGGTACAACAACAGATGTAACCGTAAGTGATTGTGAAAGAACAGCTGCAAAGGAAACAAATTCACTTGCATCAAAAAGTTTAAAATTAGTTGACAAAATACTACTTCACAAATAACTCAAACAAGTCACCTGCCACTGCTATGATTATGAAACTAGGATTTAAACAGCATTTTACACTCCGCATTGTTTCGTGTATTCAATCAAGCATGTCCTGCCAGAGATTCAGTGACTTTCAGCTTAATTTTATCATCAGAAATTTTAATTTTCCCAAAAAAGTAGCAGAGAACACAATACGGTGGAGTCCGAGCAAGATTCTTTGAAGCAAATGAATATTTGAGATTGAGATCTGAAATGAATAAAACTAATGAGATCTGAAATGAATAAAACTAATGGAAATTTACGGGTTTTTTTTATAAATCAGGAATTTTATATTCTGCAATCATTATTAAAAAGGAGAAGGGAAAAAAGAAAGAGAATAAATCAGTATGAAATAGCTGAGAAATTACCAGGAGAACTTGACCGGAGTGTCGATGCTGAAGCCTGAACCTTAAAAGACGCACTCGGACGCAATTTCGACGGCAATACCAACTAAATCGAAGCATAGAATGAACCGATTTTATTAATACTACTCGTTTTTTAGTATTGGCTTGCATACATCATTGTCCCTAAACGTATGATTTGTATCGAGTTGTCTTTATGTTTGCTTCCTAAAATTTAATTTGTATCCTCAAATGCCCCTAAACAATTACTTCTGTTAAAAACATTAGGATAAATTGCACATTTAGTCACTTACTTATTTTATTGGTTTCATTTTAGTCACCTAACTATTATTTTTATCAAAATCATCATTAATCTTAAATTTTTATTCTGTTTTAGTCACCTAATTCGATTCGATTTTTTTTCAAATTATATATAATATATAAAAATTCATTTATATCATGATAAAATTAATATATAATAATTCATTTTTATCTTTTAACATGTAAAATATTATAATATTAAAATTAAAATTTTAAAATTCTGAGCACTTATCATATCTACAGCCATTGTTCAAATCTAACAGAAACAATATGCCAAGTCACTAAAATTCATATATATATATATATATACATTCCAGGTACAGGACGAAATGATAACATTAAGATCAATTCTAGCTAGGTTTAAGGAATAATTCACCATATTTTTCACAAACGTTAATTACCAGCTATGAAAAACTTAGCAAGATAAAATACTGCAACGAAAAGCCTGCGAAAACGGTTGTACACTCAAACATGAGTTGAGGAAGAGTTCTTTATTATTGAAGCAGGATATTTATACCATCATTCAAGGGAAGCCTGGGAATCAAGATTAACTTAGGAAGCTTAATTCCAATCTTTTCAACCAAAGTAATGATTATCCATTTTTTCCCATTGCAAATCCTTTGTTTTTCCCTTTTATGTGTTTGCTTTGATTGGGTATCATATTGGATTTTGAAACATTGCAGTTGGACTATACGACTAAGGATGAAAATGAATGTCAGATTTTGCAGTACTATGATAAGATTGTTTTGGCTCCTCAAAGATATTTTGTCAAAACTATGAGTGGGGTTTTATAGTATTTTTTATTTTTCTCTGAGCTGTTCAAGCAAATTCCTAACTGAGAGATGAACACTATAATGGAACACTATATAGGAGATTATTATAGTATATAAGTGTACTTTTTAAGTTAATTTAAATTTTAATATTAAAATATTTTATGTGTTCAAAGATAAAAATGAATTCTTATATATCAATTTTACTTGTTATAAATGAATTCTTATATATTAAAATTTTGAAAAATAAATCTAATTAAATTAGGTGATAAAAACGAAACAAGAACTTAAGTTTAGTGATGATTTTTTTAAAAATAATAGTTGAGTGACCAAAGCATAACTATTAAAATAGTCGAGTGACTAAATATTTAATTTACTCTTTTTGTTAACATAGTTAACAGTGTGAGCTATTTGAGATAACTATTAAAATTTAAGAGACAAAACATCTCAAAAAATATTATGCGAATAACTCGATATAAATGGTATACTTGAGGGGTAATGGTGCATTTAAGCACTTGAGTATTCATATGTACTTATTTTTAAAGAGTTAATTGCATTAAATGTCCCCAAGCTATAACTTTATTTTAAATTAGTCTCTAATTTATTGAATATTGTAATTTCTATCCCTAAATTATTCCTCTCATTAAAAATTAGTCATCAAACTTTTAACATTTCAAATTTATCCCAAAACTATAACCCTCATTCTCTATTGATACCTAAACTTTTGAATGTTCTAAATTTATTCTTAAACTTTTGAATGATTTTGGGGGATGTTATTGAGATGTATAAAAGTTTAGGGATCAATATAGAATGAGAGCCATATTTTAGGGATGAATTTGGAATGTTTAAAATATGGGATCAATTTGGAATGAAAGTAATAATTTTGGGGATGAAATTAAAATATTTAAAAGTTGAAGAATGAATTTAAAATGAAGGGCGTAGTTTGAGGATGCATAGTAAAATTAACGCTTTTTTAGTAAAGTTCTTTTAAATAATTTAATTTTTTAGTTTTTCAATTAATTATATTTATTTAAAATAGTAATATTTTTTTAAAAAAACTATGATTTAAGATATTAATATTTTCAATAATAATTATCTATTAATACAAATAAAATTATTTTTTTACAATAAATTTCTAAATATATTTATATATATATAATAAATTGAATCAGATGTTTTAAAAATATATATTAACTTTTTTATGTAAAAAATTATTAGCGAAAATAAAGTTATCCACTGATTATAAGAAAATGTGAAACTGTTTATGTACAGAAAAATTGGTCTTACATTTGAATCTCAAATGATGTATTTTAATAGGGTTTTCTCAAGATCTGTATAAATGTAAAATAACAACAATATTCTTATATGGAGTAATAACAAAGCCAATAAAAGTGATAGGTTCAGCCACCTACAGTCACTACAAATGCTTTTGGGCGCTTGACATAATAATTTTTTGTTTTAAGAAATCACCTTTCAAAAGTAAACCATAGAAAAATATTGGGGCATTTTGGTGATAAAAGAAAAAAAATACTTTTTTAGAAATATTAGATTTAAATAATTGTATTAATAGAGTATGTATATATTATCAATAACTTTTAAAAATCAAACATATACTGCTTATAATTACTCTAAATTATTAACATGTAAGTCTAAAGAAGAATCTTCAATCCTTACACTATTGACATGTTTGTCTAATAGTGTAAATAAAAAGTATATATCTTCTATCATTAGCATCATATAAAATAAAAATATTTAATTTATCTGGAGTAAGTGAATTAAGATATGATGGATACTGAATTTTATAAAATTTCATGTTCATGTTCTGTTTTCAAGTTTTTTCTACCGAGCTCTAAAAGTCTTTAAGAGTTTAAATTATCTATTGTTGTGTCATTTTAAGTTGTATCTATGTCTGACATTAAAATGTAAGATGAATTATAATTAATATTGTATCAAGTTAAGTCATTGGGTATTTTTTGGTTTCAAATTTTAGGAGTTTTATTTTGAAAGATGAATTTAACGTATGACGTTAATATTTCGTAATGACATTTAATGACAATGATCATAATGAAAACAAATTAAAAATTTAATGATGGTATTGTAAGTTTTAAATCAGTAACCAAAAATAAGCATACTAAAAACTTGGTGACTATTTATTTAGTTTACCCTGACAATAATAAGATCTTCAAAAAAGGAAAAAAGAAAAAAAAATGAACTAATACAGGCTTCGAACACGAAAACCAGTAAAAAAATCCGAGTCAAAAAGAAAATTCGAAAAGAAGGAACCGAAATCCAAAGCCAAAAGTCTTCTTCCAAGTGTTCCATCATACACCGCCAAATGTACACCTTCAGCTGCTCGATTTTGCCAACAAACAAACCCCTCAGATGCCAAACGTAGCATTACCCAATCTCTCACTGTCTAATCTCAACCCTAGACCGAAGAGAAGAAGACGATGGCGAAGCACGCCGCCGTTGGATGGGGCCACCACCACTTACAGAACCGATGGCTTTTGGCTCTTCTCCTAATGCTTTCTGTTTCAACGGTTATTGCCTTCTTCATGAGAGCCGGCTTCGATTCGTGTGATCGGAACGTTTCTGCTGCTGTTGATGGTATAGACTCTGCTCGGCATGTCATTCAAGGCGCCGAGAAACGAACTCCGCAGATCGCTTCTGCGAAGCCGAGTCCGCTCAGTTTCATGAAGTCGAAGGTCGTTCTGCTGGTGTCGCACGAGCTCTCGCTTTCTGGTACACTTCTTGTTTTTATTTATGTTAATAGCTATCTTTAGTGAGTTCAGTCGCTTTGGAATTCATTTATGATATTTCAGTTGAATTTCAATGTAATGTAATTTGTTTTAGTTGCCTTCCTTTTACTGTCGAGTGACTCGGTGTATGATCGTTTCCATTGAAGTATCATTGCAAATGAACCGAATTTATGTTTAGTAGCTTTGAGGTAGCCATCTGCATCATCTATGGGATGTCCTTGCATGGTTGTAACTGATCTGTGGACACATATAAGTGAGTTTTATTATCGTATGGAGGAACTAGCAGAGGATGTGCATGGATTCTTTCGGTTAGTGTGCTACACCAGCCATGCCCAAAATTTTTAGTCATTACAGCTGGTTTTTTCGATTCAAGTAATTAATAGATGTATTGCATATGCATTCATTAATATTTGTAGAATGTCAGTTTTAATGCCATGGTTATCATTGTCAGCATATCATTTGCTATAAGTTTCTTTAGTTTTTGTGAGGATATCTGCACATTCTCATATCATGTTTAATTTTATCCTAATATGAAAAAGAGAAACTATGTAGTTCCACTAGGGCCCTTTGTGTCTTAACTTAATCCCTTTTATCAACTTTGCAAATTTTGACACTCTGTAAAAAGCATTCCACCAGTGTGCTGGTATCTTTGAGGTTTAATTACTTTCTGAGGCTCTGTTGACATGCTACTTATGACTCATCATTATTTCCTATAAATGAAAATTATATCATAATAAATTCTGAGATTCTTGTTGACTCCTTACTCTCAAGTACTCTGGAGGTAAATTATAGAATGTCGTTTTGGCATGTTGCCGACATGTTCTATAAATGATTTGTGCATATATAGAATCTTCTTGTCGTGGACCTTGCGGTGTAATGTGAGTTTGTCCTTGTCGTTACCCTTCTTGATGATCTTTTTTCCTGAATCTTGTAACTTTTGGTTATAAATAGTGTCTTTTGCTTCCAGCTGTAAATGAGTGCACACCTTGTCTAAGCATGAGATCTCTAAAACGTTGTTTTTATACTCTCTCGTAAACAAAATTTCCTTTTTCATGTATGACCCTTTTCTGGAAGACGTATCTATTGTCAGAAGAAAGCTTATTCTTTGCGACATTTGTAACTATCATCTTGCTTTGTGAAGAAGCTTTTTAGAATTCATATATTTCATCATATTTCTTTGTATGATGTTTCCTGTCATTTTTTATTTTTACTCTAGGCGGACCACTGTTGCTGATGGAGCTGGCATTCCTATTAAGAAGTGTCGGTGCTGAAGTTTATTGGATTACAATTACTAAAGCATCTGAAACAGATGAAGTAACGTATAGTTTAGAACATAAGATGTTAGACAGAGGAGTACAGGTAATCAGAGAATTTCACTTTGTTTCTTTATCCATTTATGGTTCTTTTACTACAAAGTAGTGAACTTTATATCACCCTTTCTTCTAATTAGGCTTTTACCTGCCTTTTCAGGTTTTCCCGGCTAGGGGGAAAGAAGCTTTAGATACCGCTTTAAGAGCTGATTTTGTTGTTTTGAACACTGCTGTTGCTGGGAAATGGCTGGATGTTGTTCTTAAAGAAGACGTTCATCGTGTTTTGCCTAAGGTGTTGTGGTGGATCCATGAAATGCGAGGCCATTACTTCAAATTAGACTATGTAAAGCATCTTCCTTTTGTAGCTGGTGCTATGATTGATTCACATGTCACAACAGAGTATTGGAAGAGTAGGACTCGAGAAAGTTTGAAGTAAGCTTCGAAATCCTCGTGTCTACAATCTCAGTGTGCTTATTGTTGCTTTTAAAGTATTGATGTTCATTCTGCATGCATTGCAACAAAAACCCAAACAATATTTTTTGTGCATTTAGTTTCTCAGTTACTCCATATGTTTCACATTTCTTATGTCTAATTACACATTTGAGTGTTTTTTCCCTTCTCCAATTCATTTTCTTTTTGTAGGATTAAAATGCCCGATACCTATGTTGTTCACCTAGGAAATAGCAAGGAACTGATGCAAGTTGCAGAAGACAGTGTGGCTAAAAGGGTTTTGCGTGAACATGTTCGTGAATCTCTTGGAGTGCTCAATGAGGATTTACTCTTTGCCTTAATAAATAGTATGCTTTTTAGTCTTCATCTCGAGTGGATTTTTCTCTTCTTGTCCTTCACTTTCCTCCGTGTAATGCACCTATTTTTATAGAGATTCTCCTTTCAATTTGATAAAAATAGAGTTGTCAGGATTGGCTTTGTCGATTGTATAATTATTTTACTGGGAAAGTAACAGTGACTGAGTGATTTCAGTTTGATGTTATTTCTGCTGTTACATTGCATGTTCAATTCTATTTTTTGGTTAGATTGAGATATTCTCTTTTTGAAGAAAATCGAAAATCATGTAGCTTCTTCAATTGTTATGTATTGAATCTCCTGCATTTTGAGTTTTGTCTGGCAGTTAAGAACAATAGTTTGGTTTTACCAATCATCTTTTTCCGAATTTTCCATTTCTCCCTTGAACTATCATGGTATTGTTTTTAATTAATCACCAATTCACTCTATTATATCCTTTCCTCAATTTTCTTTTGTACACTGAGGCATATAAACGAAGGCAGAAAGTAGGGGGAAAACATTTGAACTGAAAAGTGCATGTTTTTCTGCTTTTTGTCACTAAGTTGTATCAAATTCCTTCCACTGCAGGTGTTTCACGGGGAAAAGGCCAGGATCTCTTTTTACGTTCCTTCTACGAGGCCTTGCAACTAATCAAGGAAAAGAAAATGCAGGTACCACCACTGCATGCAGTAATTGTAGGAAGTGACATGACTGCCCAGACAAAATTTGAAATGGAATTACGGGATTACGTATTGCAGAAGAAAATTCAAGATCGGGTTCATTTTGTGAACAAGACTCTGACGGTCGCACCATATTTAGCTGCCATTGATGTTCTTGTGCAGAATTCCCAGGTAATTTATGTGGTTTAAAGCATTTTCATTTTCAAATATAATGTTTACTTCAGTCTGTGAAATTAATCTAATTTGTTTTCTTGTTGATGCAAGTGTTGCTCCTTTAGTTGTTTGTATAATCATAATATAAAGAAGCTATTGCTGTTTTATTATTTAGTTATAGGACAGAGTCGGGAGATATTTGAAGGTCCGTTTACCATCAGAATTCGCTGATGTGACTGATGCCTCAATGATAACAAGTCTCAGGCAGTAGTCCGATTACCAATGTTGATAATTGACTTGATGACATTGGTTTTCTTGTGTTAAGAGACCTAGCACTTATTACATGATAATAATGGTAATTATGGTTATGTTATGTGCCCGTTGTTGTTCTTAGATGTCTCCAAGTTACATAATGTCAGTCACCAAGTAATCAAAATTCTAAAGGCATAAAAAATGAACAATCAATTACTAGAGAAATGTGCATCTATGGACTGGAGGGAGAACTGAGTTTATTTGAGTAGATTCCTTGATGCATCATGCATATTACGGTTTTGAATTTCTGATTTTCGTGTAGGCTAGAGAAATGTGGATCTATGGTTTGTTCTCTTCTTCAAAGTCGCTTTAAATATAAAGCGAATCACAATTTTTTTCCTTGCTTTTAGGCACAGGGAGAATGCTTTGGACGGATAACAATTGAGGCCATGGCATTCCAGTTACCTGTACTGGTAATCTGTGAGCTTTTCCTGATTTTCTTTTACTCATACATCTGAGCTTTTGATAAATAAAACATGTCGGAGTCGTTAACTGCTCATATTTTCTATGGTAATAGTCATTGGAGCTGGTTTTTGATACTGACACATGCCATATCCAAAAACAGGGAACAGCTGCAGGAGGCACCACGGAAATAGTAGTGAACGGGACTACAGGTGCTTTACATCCGGTTGGAAAAGCAGGGGTTACACCCCTTGCAAAAAATATCGTCAGACTTGCTACTCAGGTCGAGAGGAGGCTTACCATGGGAAAGAGAGGGTACGAAAGGGTCAAAGAAAGATTTCTAGAACCACACATGGCCGAGAGAATTGCTGGAGTACTGAAAGAAGTGTTGAGGAAATCTAAAATCAAATCAGGTAGACACCTGGATTGAAACAATGGGGTTGGATCAGTTTCAATCAGTGCAGCCATGGTGGTCCAAAGTACAGGCTAAAATAGGATGCATTTTTCTTTTTCTCATGTAGTGACATATTTTTGGTTATTCATGGCCTATTTTTTATGTCTCCAGTTTTCCTTTCAGAGATGTAAATTATGTATGTACTAAGACCATTTTCAACCGTTGATATAGTTGAGAAGCTCATTTGAAGGTATGTGGATTTTTTTCATACTTATTATAGCATTGATTTCCTAAGTAATGGAACAACAGTATTACGTGGTATAATAAGGTGGTCAACCATTCATAAATAAATGCAATTCCAAGTTTCGTTGGAGAAATAAATAAATAGGTAATTTATATTATTCAAAGCGCATCGCTTCGTCACCTCAGGTTAGCCTGTTTTTTTTTTGACGCGTACACCTTAATTTCCTTTATTTGGTTCATACTTCATACCGTTCAATTAATTCATCCAGTTGAGCTGGAAACTTCGGCTTCAGCATTTTGAATTGTGGTACATCTCTCCCGCAAACCCACTACAATACCTTTAAATTTTATGCCAATACTGTGCAGCTGTACTATCACCGAACTTATACGAAGCCTCAAGAAAATGGATATCGCCATGGATAGTTATGCTAAGCTTGTTTTAATCAGGTTAAGCATCCAACCCCATTTCTTTGGACTGCTCTAATTCGTGGATATTGTTACAAGGGCTTGTTAGCGAACGGATTTTTGTCTATAATAGTACGAGAAAAGATAATACTTCGCCTGTTTCTTTTACATTTTCGGCTCTTTTTAAGGCTTCCAGTACGGTTGTTGATGTGAATTTGGGCTGGCAAATTCAAGTTCAGGCGATCTTGTTTGGTGGGTTTGATCATGATTTATTTGTAAAAATAGCTTGATTGGAGTGTGTGTCAAATTAGGATTTTAAGAGTGTGGGAGGAAGGTGTTTGATGAATTGCCTGAGAGAGATTTGAGTTATTGGACATAGTTAATTGTAGCATATGCAAAAATTGGGAATATGGAATCTGTAGGAGAATCGTTTGGTCAGTTGCCTTTGAAGGATATGGTGGGATGGACAGCGATGGTTACCGGATATGCTTAGAATGCTAAACCTAGAGAGGCATAGGCATTGGAGCTGTTTGAGAGAATGCAAAATTAAAATAGATGAGGTTACTTTTGTTGAGAGTCATTTCTGCTTTTGCGCAACTAGGTGCTGCAAAGAACTTCAACTGGATTCAGTATATTTTTGAGAGTTTGCGGATTAATCCTGCTCGTTGTGTTGTGGTGGGATCGGCTTTGATTGATATGTAGTCGAAGTGCGGAAGTGTTGATGATGCATATAAGGTTTTTGCGGAAATGGAGGAAAAGAATGTGTTTTCATATAGTTCGATTATTGCAGGGTTTGCTATGCATGGTTGTGCTTATGCGGCATTGCAATTGTCTCATGAAATGGTGAATATAGGGATCAAACCTAATAAAGTTACATTTATTGCAGTACTTTCAGCATCTAGCCATTCAAAAATGATGGATCAAGGTCGTCAAATATTTGCAACCATGGAGGAGAAATTTGGGATCTCTCCAGTTGATCATTATTCATGCATGGTGGATCTTCTTGGTCGAGCTGGACTCCTGGAAGATGCACTTAAACTTGTAGAAACAATGCCAATTGATCCTAATGGAGGTGTTTGGGGGCGCTGCTTGGATCATGCAGCACTTATGATGGGAATGATGAAGAAATAAACTTCTTGTCATTGAGTTCTTTGCCTGGGACGTGACATACCTAAGGTCTGGTGAGATGAAGCAGGTGCTTGAGGATAGTTTAAAGGCCATCGAGTTTGAATCAAACATGAATTCCATTGCTTATGATGCGAATGATGAAGAAAAAACATGGATACTAATCACTCGGGAAGCTAGATCTGGCATTCGGGAATGCTGATTGCCCCATCAGGATTATGAAGAATATAAGAATGTACGAAGATTGCCACTCATTCATGTGTGGTGTAGTGTATCTCAAATCACAGGTAAGGTAATTACTGTAAGGGATAATTTGAAAATTTATTGTGAATATTGGGAATGAATAAATTGTAACTATTGGAAATGTAGTCAATAGTATAGAAGATTTTACGTAACATGCAATTTAATTTTTATTGTATTCTCTATTGTTTTCTATGCTAAGTCCCCTGGACTAAAGAAAATAGCATAAATATTTACAAATTATACTGCCAAAGTCTTCCACAAAGAACCCACACTAAAATCCAACAGTGTCAAAAGGTAAACAAAAAATTTTGGCCTGATTGTCAAGTCCCAGGGCATACAACTCTCAATAATGTTCTATGTCAAACAATCATACTGGTTCTGAAAGCATATTATAACACAATAGAACCAAGCATACATAAGACAACTAACATCTAAGCATTTGCAGATGCAATCTCAGGGTGGTAGTTAAGCATCTCAATCCACACCATCTCTCTAATCATCTGTTCCCCCATGTTCTCATCTATGTCGAGATTGATCGGTACTTGTGCAGGTGGATTGGACCTTGGATCGTATAACCCTGACATATAAGGATGTAGGAGTGCTTCTGTGACGGTTATTCTCTTAGTTGGATCGAAAACGAGCATCCTTTGCAACAAATCTATGGCTAATGGATCGGCATGAGGGTATAGGTGAGAAAAATGGGTGCCTTGAGAGTAAGGAAGTGACTTGATATACTGTCTTGCTTTGGCGTTATCGATAAATGCAAGATCAGCCTCTTGCTGGCTTCCGAGGACATTAATAATTAACTTAAGCTGGTTGAGGCATTCTGTCCCAGGGAAGATAGGTTTCCGACCAAGAATCTCAGCAAAGATGCATCCAACTGACCATACATCGATGGAGGTCCCGTAATTATCACAACAGAGTAGGAGCTCCGGTGCCCGGTACCAGCGGGTGACAACATACTCTGTCATGAATTGTTCATTGCCTATACTGGTTCGTGCCAACCCGAAATCACATATCTTCAGGTCACAGTTAGCATTGATGAGGAGGTTCCCGGGCTTCAAGTCTCGATGGAGGATGTTCGCTGAGTGCAGGTACTTCAGCCCTCGTAGCAGCTAATTCATGCATTTAAAGATTAGAAACAGAAAAAGCATTTAAACTCAATGCGATCCAAACCTTCTTAAGCAGAAGAAAATAGTAGATATTTACCATCATTAATAACAGTCTACTCTAGACAATCAAGAAGATAATTATGTTTAATGAAGCAATTATGTCAACAACTAGGAGAAAAAAGCTGTAAAAGAGGATACTGCATTCTATTATGGCTTTTATGATTCTCAACAACTACGAACTGAATCATTCACCTTCTATGCCGTTTGGACTCGGGGTTGAATGTTAGCTACCGAATATATATCTGGCATGGGTATATGTACCGGACACGGAAATGAAGAATCTGTGTAACATGGGCCTACTTTAATGTATATACCCCTGTATTCATTGAACTGTTGCTCCATTGTCATCATCTTGTACTTGAATGAAACCATTAACAAGTTTCCACCGGTACAAGTTGTTACAAATTTATGATAAGCCTAACAAGCACCAATACATGGCCTTTCTTTTTCTGTTGAACTAAATGCAAAATGGGACCAAATGACCACTAAAGTCATCAATGCTCCAAAGCTAAAGGATGTACAGAATTTAAGTACAAAGGACAGCTATTTAGACTAACTAAACATTTTTTTACAGTCCAAAGTGACCTGCAAAAAGGGATATCATACAAAAAAAGGTAAAAATTAACAAGTCTAATGACAGCCTAATGGTAACTACTTAAAACCATTAATGCAAACTCATAGGTTCTCGGTATGAATCTAAATCCAAAATTACCATGTAGAATAGGTGAATGTTTATAACACTGAAATTACCTGGAAAATGAAATACTTGCAGTGATCATTGGAAAGAGGCTGAGAAGACTTGATAATCTGATGCAAATCGGTGTCCATGAGCTCATAAACCAAATAAACATCATTGAAACTGGTTCTATGGGTCGGCATCATTACATCTTTCAGAGCAATCACGTTGTCATGTCGAATGTGTCTGAGAAGTTTCAGCTCCCTCAGAGTTCTCAAAGCATCGACACGGTTCTCGAACACATTGTTGATCTTCTTTATGGCCAATTTCTCGTTGGTTTCCCTGTTGATGGAGGAACAAACGATGCCGTATGCTCCTCTCCCTATAGGCTTGATGGGAACATACTTTGTGTCAATCTCGAAAAGGGTTTGCCACATTGAATAGTAATGCTTCCCCCTTGGCTTCACCCCATTTGGTGGCTCCACAAGCGTCGCCATTTTTTCCTCTGAAAATTTCTACAAAATTAAACTCATCGCGAAAACTAAACAAGAGATAAAAAAAAGGTTTTGGAATCAATTCTTACTTGCCGCTTCTACTTCTTTGCTTTGATCTTTTGGAAGAAAAAAAACCCACCCACCTTTTTTGCTACCCTTTCCTTCAATTCTATCAGCAAACTCCAAATTCACTACCTTTCAAATCATGCCACTGTAAAATCCCAAAAAACCCCACTTTTTTCATACCCTTTTCTTCAACCTCTAAACCAACTCCAAATTCACAAATTGAAAATCATCCCACTGTGTACAAAAACAAAACCCCCTTTATTGTCTTCCCAGAAAGAAAAGAAAAAACCAAGAGTTGGGTCTTTATGAACAAAGGGAACAGGTTTGATCTAATTCAAAGTTTCCAATGAGACGAAAGAGAAAGCGAAGATATTATAGAGAGCATGTAAAGGAAAGAGCTGGGACGTGACGCTCACACGGCATTTCCCTTAAGGTGTAAAACGACAACTACGTACTGTTTTGGTCTTTGGGGTTTTAAGAAATATATATATATATATATATATATATCCATCTCTTCATGCACAAACAATCTTAAAACTTTTATTTTTACTTGAGCAGATAGTTTTGCAGCTTGGGTTTTGCTTAAGCTTTTGCCACGCACAAACTTGAAAGTTGGAACTTTAATCTTCTTTACACTTTCCACAAATAAGGGGAAAATGGAAGACTTTATCTTCTTGGTTACTAATACTACAATGAAAATGAAAAGGAAGTTACTAAATTGGGATTATTCTTTTGCAAGCTTAGAAATTTGGTAATAATAGAAATTACAATTGATTCCATTAAGGAAAATGAAACAGTAGAAGTTACTTTGTTTTGAAAATGAACGACGCAAAAAGTTAAAATGGTAAAAGAAAAATCTGTACTTTTCTTAAAAAAAACTTTGAATTGAGAAAGAAAAGCTGTTTCTTTTGCACACATTCTCGGCATTGTTGCCTTTGCTTTTCCTTCAATCATCTATTAAATCCAATTCAATGACATCTTCCATTTCTCGCCACTTCAAATCCCAAGCAAAGACGGCGGTGGCACGTGTACCACCGGTTTAGGCCGGCATCTGGCTTGCTTTCATTTGCCGAAATCGTCACAAATCTCCAAATGATTACGATTCCAGATGCATTTTAATATTATTTTGGGATATCATAAATGGTTGACCTTGTTCCCATATGTAATGAGGTAAGGGGAGGTAAGATAGTAGGCTGCTCCTAACATCAGATTGAGAGCAATTTTCGTAGGAGACCTCCGAATTATGAAATGCCAGGAGCTTGGTGCTTCACTAGTTACAAATATAATAAAAGAAAATTAAGAATTACTTATTAACAGATGATCAATAGCACTAAGTCTCTCTCAAAGATTCAACAATCAATTTAGTCTTTGAAAATAGCTATAGGGCAGTTTTAATGGCTGATATTTCAGTTAAAATTGTATTCTCTTCTTCCTTCAATCTATAACTAAAATATAGATAAAGTTGGAAGATTATCTCATAGTCATATTATTTAGTTTGAATTAATTGATTAATAAATTAAATATCAATAATTTTATAAATAAGATAAGGATGAGTTTACAATGAACAACACTAGTGACATATACCGATATGTATTACTAATAGAAAATATGATAAGATTCCTAAATAAATATTAAATTTTACTAAAACGATTTTATTTATTATTAGATTTTTAAAACTTATAAATATACATTAAATTTTAAATTTTCTTTCAAATATAGGTATTGTCCGTTAAATATTGATGAAATATATTAAATTTTAAATTTTGTTATTAAATTTTAAATTTTGTTAATGATATAGATAAGAGAACAAGGAATCAAAGTGTTCAATGCTAGATTCATGGAATTTAGAGTATTTTCTAGTTAAACAGACATCAAATTCATGTTCAGGAGGGTGAAACAAGTTTGATAAAAAAAATAGGATTCATCGGACGTTATTGATGACAACTGACGGCAGAGGTAGACCCAGAAGCCTTCGTCAGGGGTTGCAAGAGTCTCAAGAGTGACACTTTTGAGGGATGACACTTGGATTAGGGGTGACACTTGTGGAGGGGTTGCTTGGGATACCCCGGGCACCATGGAGGTCCACCCCTGGATGAGGGGTTGCCCGGGATACCCCGGGCTCCATGGAGGTCCGCCCCTGACTGACGGTGGACGACGCGATGGTCATAATCTAAATAAATAGAGAGAAAAAAGAGACGAAGAGAAAAATAAGGTAAAAAACAAAAATGAAGATTAAAAAAATATAAATAAAAGAGGAACAATGAGTTTTATATGGATCCAAAGTGATATCGTTTTGGTTTAGATTTAGCTTTTCCAAAACAATGTTTTGATTTTGTGTCATGTCATAATGTAGTTAACTATTTAACGGTATAATAACTAAAATAGGAACAATTTAAAAATTTGATGATTGAATTAAAAAGGTAAATTTTAGTAATTAAAATAAGAGTGAGAAAAAAGTAAAGTTATAATACTTATAATTTGCTTGTGTTTTGTTATTATTTTTAGAAATCAAATGGATTATTGATGAGATTTAACCAATTGAAACAACACATGTGGATATTTTATTCTTATTTTTTTTTATAAATTTTAAATTTAATTCTAAGTATACTTAGAGAAGGAGGGAGGGTATTATAGGGGAAGGAAACTATATTTACAGAAATGGCTAAAATATTTCATTAAGCAATTATGAGATCAGTCATTCAAAATCTTAAGGAAAGTCGAAAGGTTAAAAGTGACCAAATCTTAAAATGTTTCATCGCTTTATGCTTAAGCTTATTAATTACGTTATCTTATGGATATATTATTATAAAACCAATTTTTACATAACTTCCAATTAAAATTTAAATGATTTTTAAGATCACGCCGTTAAATTTATAAACATATAAATAATATATATTATATAGATTATATTTTATTTAATATATTAATAATAATATTATTATTTTAAATAATATGAAGTGATCGAAGGTAATATATGTTCATAATCTTACTTAGTTATTGACAATGCACTACACTTGACATACACAACTTTTAAAACCCAAAACTTTAAAGGAGAACAACTTTTCCTTTTAACTACTTAGACAACTTAATAGGTTCATTAAATTTAAAATTAATTAAAAAAAATTTATTAATAATTTTATAATATTATTAAAGATATTTAAATATTATCATATTTATATATAATCCTAAAAAATAATTAAAAACCAGGACATAAAAATTAAATTCTATAAATTTTATCATTCTATCTATAATTATTTTCGAAATTAATTTAAAGTAATTTTTGTGTAGGTTATTTATATTATTAATTTTGGAGAAACTAGATATCCTTCCTTCCTCCAATACAGCAATTGTAAAACCTCCAAAAATATATCAATTTGTGGCTGCTGGGATTCGAGCCCAGGTCTCCACGGCCACAACGTGGAATTCTTACCACTAAACTACAGCCACTTTGTTGATCCAACGCTAAAGTTAATATTAACTAATTTATATTGAAAGTTAAACCCATAAATATTTCGTGTACGGTTATGATATTCTTCCTAGCAAAAGCCCCTGAATTTGATGAATGATGAATCGGTGATGCAAGGGACTCAACATATAGGAAATGGATCCTTAATGTAGACATTATATTACTTTGCTCCCAAGAGTAAACCGAAAGCATGGTCCCTGATACCAGGATTTGCTGCCTCCATTTGCTAACCAAAGCCGACATATATTCTTCTAGGACTCAAAGACACCCTTGTCTTCTTCTTAAAACCTCTTTAATGCTGCCAACTTTACACCTCCTTTTCAGGCTCTCTGCCACTTCTTTACAACCCTTCCTTTCCATCTCCAGTTTCAACTTGCTTCCATCCATTATGTTTAAACAAATTCTGATTAATTAATTACTTATTCAACGGATTCGAGAAAAGAACAAAAAAAGGGTATAAAGCTAGACCCTATAATACTATAATCCTTTCATCGAAGTTCTACATTGTTCTTCTTGAGTTTCTGCAGATCATCAACTGATGAAAGATGCCAATTCTGTGGTGTAGCCGTGTAGGAACTGCAGAGAAGTGGGAATCTTCCTATTCAATATCCAACTAAAAAAAGTAGAGAAATCTTTAAGCATGTTTATACTACTACATACAATGACAGAAAAAAGTATACTGATATATATATATAGTAGTAGAAAGATTTGGAGTGTATATATTGTAGCAGAAAGCTTACTGTATTTTATGCCCTTAATATTATTTTTTTAGCAGAAGCATATAATGCATACCAGCGTGGATTCTAATTGGGGGCGGCCTATATAATGCAAGTGGATTAGACAGTGTAGGGGCTCTTTCTTACTTTGAATTTAATATTCAAACTCCAATCCTCCTTTTAATAACATTAACAAAAATGTCATCTTGGTATCCCAATGTTCATCCAATAATTGTGTAATCCCTCAGTAAACTATATACATATATACATAATATATGGTATTTGAACAATTCTGAACCATAAGCAACAAGTGTTGAAATCATGAATGAAGATTGATTTGATGCAGAAAGTACTGGTTATTAAGCATGAAAATAATAGGTGGTGAACCAATCTGGTGGTGTAGTGACAAAAGACTTGGGTTAAAATCGAGTCGGATTCATATTTGGACAAACCCCTAATCGAAAAAAGAAAAGAATGGAAATAAGTGGTGGATGATGGACAGCCTCAGCCTGCAAGGGAAAGTAGAAAGACAAACAACAAATTTGCAATCTTGCCCATATCTACCTTTTTTTCTCTGAGCCAACTTTTTGGGGTTTCATATAATTTGATTATTGTTATTATTATATAGGCTTCTTTCTGGTGAAAAGGCACCTTAATTTTGTTTAATAAAACAATTATCAAAGTTGAGTACCTTCAATATTAGCTAGTTTTTAATGTTCAGTCTCGCCATTGATACATGCTTAAGCTGATCAAACCATTCTGAAAGTTAAGTACCATATATACTGCCTGCTTAACCGAAAATAACCAAGTTATGGAGGTGAATTGCGGTGAACACCGGCTAAAGAAAAAGACGAAATCGCAAAATAACGACAGTAACATTGTAACATCATGTTGCAGTCTGCTCACAGAAACTCATGCATACAAAGTAAAGTACCATTTGTCTTGTAATGGATGTGTTGCCAAGTATAAAGACTAGCTATAAACTATTAATCATATTCATATATACAGTAAAAGTATCCACCTGCACTGGTGAAAAAATAGTGGCTCTGATTTAACAACCTAATTATATTTTTAACTTTTAGAATGATAACCCTACAATATGCCTATATATAATATGTTGCAGAATATAGGGTCTTCGAAAAGAATAAAGCATTTTCAAACAAAATTTTCCTCTTTCAGAGTTCAGACCCTTCCTTTGAGTATCTTACTTCAGTTCCAAAGCCAGGATTCTAATCATGTCTCATCCATCTATGTGATTGTGGAGATAATAGAGAAGACAAACAGAGAAACTTAATCTAATATATATATATATATACACATATGCAACAATTATAGGGTATTTCACTGGCAAACTGAAGCTGCTTTAGAAGTTTCTTGGCAACCTCATTTGAAGAAGTGAATGAGACTTTGCAGCTGCAGGGAGAGGAAATAAAGTGAGAAAGCTAAGTGTTTGAAGGCTAAACTGGTTACTTGATATTACTTTCTTGAATCAAGGGACAAGCTTTCTTGTTTTATTTTTTGTATTCTTTTTGAAGTTACCATGGACTCTTCAAATCTCCATTCTCAATTCAAGGTTGAAGAACAGTATGTTAAGTATACCTCTATGTTAACTCAAATTGGTCCTCAAGTATCAACTGCAGACGAATGGAAGCACGACTTCTTTCCGTAAGTACTAAACTACCTAGAAAAATTATATGTAAATTGTCCATCTGATTATATATCATGTTTAGTTCTACAATCTTATCATGTTTTTTCTATTCATGTGACGTAAGCCTGTTTAAGTTAGTGATTTGAAAGGGAAAAGGAAGAAGACAAACTCATTAAGACCTGAGAATCTGAGACATATTCAGTACTTCTATTCGAGATAAAAAAAAAATTGCTTCTATGTTTTACATGATTGGTCCCAAGACCTACTGAAAGATGTGTATCGAGAAGTTTCTTTCTTTATTTCTTAGATTTTCAGTAAACTGGTAAATTTGATAATGTTTTCATGTTGAATATATTGTGTTTATTGTTATTTCTTTCATGCAGGAGTATTGGTGGCAGATACAATAGGACTCTGGTTGACTCCATCCCTAAATCAAGGGAACTATGGACACCGCCTTTGATAAGGACCTCGGTGAATGAGGGCAGCTTCTACCAACAATCCGCAAACGAGTTTCTCCTTGCAAATATCAAAGATGATATGTCAGGCTCCTTCACCAAACTGAGTGAGATGTACTGCAACTCTAGCGCAGAGGACCCGCATTTACCGTCTAAAAAACACTATCCACAATCCATTGATCAAGATCTAGGGGGAAATCTATGGCACGGAAATTTCTCCATTGCTAACAACATGACCGAGCGGCAGCTTTTGTCTGGAGACTTGTACATTAATTCTAATGATCACTCCCCATGTTTGGGAACTGCAGCAGCTAGCAGATATGATTTCAATCATATCTTTCCAAGTACAAATATTGCTACCACAGATATGTGCTCCACATTGATTTCAAACTCTTTGGACTTGAACTTGAAATCCTTGGATCTTTTCAACTCTACATATGATAGTGGGAGATGCAATCAATATTTAGTTGAAAATCCTGAAAAAATAAGCAGAAATGTGCTTATGGGCCATGATCCTAGAAGAGAAAGTAATGACAGTCCATCCACCACCTCCAGAGTATGTCTCTATAAATTTCTCTCTTATTCATAATTATACCTAATTGATTTATTTTTCATGCATTTAAAAACTATTTCCATTTGTAATTTTTAGCATTTTCTTTTTTATCTCCATAAAAGGTATCAACCTTTGTTAGTGGATCAACTACAAGTGCAAAGAGACCTGGTAGCTTTTCCGATACAAAGGAATCCCATACAGATACTAAGAAGTGCCGGTCCTCGAAGTCACGGTCCCCATGTCCAACGTTAAAGGTGAAACTAATATTAACCGATGCTTCATTTTTATGCAAATTCTCACTAGCTTGGACCTTGATTTTTTAACCTTAGGTTAGAAAGGAGAAATTAGGAGACAGGGTTGCTGCACTTCAGAAGCTGGTGGCACCATTTGGAAAGGTACATTTTTATCCATGTTACTTCCCCATTACCATCCCACTAAGACTGAATGAGATGAAACAGATTTTTAAATCTAAAATATATACATAAAAATTTAAAATATTGGTTGAGCTATACTTATATATCTAAGTTTATGTATGGAATGATTGCCAGACAGATACTGCTTCAGTGTTAACAGAAGCCATTGGGTACATCCAGTTCCTCCATGACCAAGTTGAGGTATTTTGTTTCTTTTACTTTCTTTGCGTTATTTTTTTCTCCTTTTACTACTACATTAAAACTTAAAGAATGTAGTTTCTTTGAGATATTGAATAGACTTCTTTTACCTTTCCTTTGCAGACATTGAGTGTGCCATTTATGAAATCATCACAAAGCAAGCTTTATAGAACCATGCAAACGGTATAAAAATTCCGAATCTATCTCAATAAAGATAAACATAAAATTTCCTAGGAAATCCATTATTTAAAGGAGGAAATTACAATTTTTCTTATCTGCAGGGTATGAAAGAAGGAAAAGAAGAGCAGAAGCCTGATCTTAGAAGTAGAGGACTATGCCTTGTGCCCCAGTATTGTGCCGAGTATTTTATTAATCGTTGCTTTAATGGAATTTAGATATTCCCCCTTTGAGAAACTTGAGGTTGTACATAAGAAAAATGATTCCAGCCTTTCGAATTACGAAAACTACTGGTGTAGGCTCAAGGTCTGGTTATTGAGACTAAGAGCTTTAGCTAGCTCATATATATTTGTCAACCTCCATGAAAAGATATTTTTATTAGGGGATCATCAAGTTGGATATGTTACTTATCTTGTCATAAAACTTTCCCACTCACATGAACTACACGAAAAAATATATCTGTATGCTTCTCTTTACCTCTATTTACTGAACTTGTTAACTTAACCGAACTGCATAATGTTGAAATCCACAGTTGCAGAAGATAGATGGCTAATTGTGATTACCATATTATATATCATTTTCACTTATTCAGTCCCTCCTATGAGATAAAAGAACAGATGATTGAACTCGTGCCTTCCAATAATAATATGTATATATATGTATACTGATATATAACAGGGGGATTTAAACCATGTATATATATCATAACTTTTTACACTGCACATCCTATGGGTGGAATGCTAGACTAGAGTGCACTTTGGGGGTTGCCTTATAAACAAAACTGCTTTGCTACTGGTTTCCTGAGTATCTGTCTGCGATGGCTTTGTCTTCCTTCACCAGAAGTACTGAAATACATGAAAGTATAATCTCAGATTCAGATGCAAACTTCATGTAAATTATAATGTTCATAAGGAAAGGATAAATAGGCAATACTAATGTCTTCATAGCTTACCAAAAACCTCTTCTTCCTCTTTTTCTTCTTTTTCTCGATGTACGCCAGGAGCTCCTTCTGTTGAGCAACTGCATCTTCTAGAGCCTGACAAAGCAAGGTAATGACAATGTTAATCACTTTTAAGTGCAGCACTGCTATTAAGTATTTTCAATTCTTTGTTTTTCCTTACTATAAATTGTATTTCATCAAAACCAGTAATGTTTACCTTCTTAGTTGCTACAAGCTCTTGCTCCAAGAGATCTGCCCGGTTCACTGCAGTATTCAACAATTCCTCCTTCTCAGGGGGCATTGTTGTAGGTTTTGCATTCATGTCAGTTATTCTCTCTTCCAACTCGGATATACGTTTCATGACCGTCATCATCTCGGCAGGGGAGATGGATGCCGGTGGGGGTAAGTTAGCAGCCGAAGGTTCCTGGTTCCTAAACTCTGTTTCAGCACTAGAGGCCATGTTGGCATCAGTGACCTTCTTCGACATGGTGCGTGACACTTTCATCATGGTAGCAATGCCCATAAAAAAAGTCATTACACCAGTGAAAAGAGGAGAGCTGAAGCCATCAGGATCCTGGCCAGTTCCTTGCTTGGCATAACAATCTGCCATTACAACAATGCAAACCTTTGCAGCTATTAAAACATAGTTTATTTATTTCGTTGTTTCTAACACGTTCAAGTCTACTTATGTGTGTTTACAAATAATCCATGTACCTTTTGTTTGAACTGGAGCAGTTTCGTTGTGCACTCCAGCTTTTGAAGCTAAACTTGCACATTTATCAACCGTTGGGACAAATTTCTCATTTTGGATCATTTGGACCTGTGAAATTTGTTTATCAGAACAAAGAAAATGGGGAAAAACTTGTTGCTTTAACAATACAAACACAAGAAATGAACTTGAAAAGAAAAAGAAAAAGGAATGCTAACTTAGAGCTCAACTACTTTGCTGGTACTGGGCCTTGTATCTTCCAAGGGCTCTACATTTTTCATAAACTGGTTCAACTTTGAGGTCTATGTTGGTACCACTAGATGCTGGCTCAAAACCAAACACCCTTAATTATTGACAATATTGAGAGAAAAGTCTGCTTAAACTTACATTTTCAATATCGGGAAAGGGTTTTGGAGAGAAGGATTGTTTGTTTCCTGCCTCGGCTTCTATGGGGCTGGTGGCTTGGTCAGACTGCAAAAAAAAAACTACAAAGTCAAGCAATGGGGGAAAAGAAGCAAAAGAAAACCACTGAATTAAGAAAAAAAAAGGTGGATGATAATCATGCAATGGTCATAGAGCAAGTAGAACCCTTGAGACCACGGCCTCATCCTTGGGAACTGTCTTGTCTTCAGCACTTTGAGACTGAAACTTCTTTGTGCATTTATGTTCACCATTTTTAACCATCTGCAAGTAGAAGAATTGGTTAAGTGCTTTGACTTAAACTGAAGAACAACATACAAGATAATCAATATGAATGCATTTTGAGAAAAAGAAAAGGACAGAAAAACATAAAGATGGGAAGAAGACTGGAACTCAGAGATAGTTGAGGTTCACCTTCAAGATTTCTGGGTCCTTCCATGGGCCCTTATCAGAAAGCATGCAACCACCCTGGTCAGCACATGTGCAAGTACCTCCCATAAACTCTGGTAACTCACTGATATAAAGCCACATAAAAAATGAGAATGTTCGAAACAGTAAATAAGAATGTTTGATTACAATGCAAAGAAGAAAATTTTAGCTCATCAAATGGGAACATACCTTTCATCAATTATTTCAAGCAACTTGCTTTGATATTTGTTGCCAAGAACCTGATACATGATATATATTTATTGATTAACCTGTATGTGTTAAAACTAGCAAATTCAATTGGAGGAAGCATATGCTTACATTAATCTTAGATGTGGTCTTAGGATCAAGGAAAGACTTAACCGAGTTCCACAACATTCTAAATCCTGAACCTGCATTAATGATGAACATCCGATTCAAAGTCTGCAAAAAAGGCCAACAATTTGCACATGATAAATCCATCATCCAAAGTTAAATATCACAACCACACGAAAGCTTAACTATTAAGGGAGTTGGTACCTCAGGATAATTGTCACCATCGGTTTTCTGAAGAAGAGTGATAAGTTCCCTTACTGCTTTGGTGAAGCTTTTAAGACCCTGTATGATTAACTTGATATTAAACCAAACTGCATTCTCATACATGATTTTTATATGTATAGTGATAACTCACAATCTCTGATCAAATTTTTGTATCATTTACATGGTGATTACTATTCACTTACCACTCCTTGTACATCCAAGATGGTGGTGCTTTGGTCAATGTGCTTCTCGGAAGAAATAGAGCAAGCTGGGAACTTAAGATTAAAGGTCTTTTCAAACTCCTGTACATGGTATTTGATATAGCGGTCCATGGTTGTAACTTGCATGAGCTTGTTAGCATCTATTAGGCCTATTCTTTCTATATATACGGGTCTTCCATCTTTATCTACTCCATGGTACCCTTGGGGGTAATGTTTCAAGACATTATCACGCTCCTTAAAGTCGAAATCCTTAAAATAAAAGAGAAGAAAAAGAAATGGAATTCAGCCAGAAAGATCCATTTTGTGGGGAAAATATCTTATACGGCTGATTTATAAGAAGATTACCTCCAAAATCGTGTCGGTACCAAATTCCTTCCTCCATTGAAGCATATCACTCCACATTTGCTTTGTTTTCTCAATGTCAAACTTTCTGGCCTTCAAGAACCTGCACTATAAAATGAGGTACATTAGAAGTTCGAACCAGTTTCTGCAATTGCCTTAATAAGTTTTCACTTGAACACAAAGCCAAGTAGACATATCGAACATTGTTCGAAAAACAGGATAGGAAGTAACCTGAGCAACATGTGATAATCATCATGTTTTTCGGGCAATAGTTCCTCTGATATAAGTGCCTGTCGTAAGACATCAACCGCCTGCAACTCATCGGCATCGTGCTCATCTTCGATTTCAATGGACATTACTTTACTGCTCCTCCTACCTTTCTTCGAAAAAGAATTCCCAAATTTATTAGAGGCGCTAAGTGCAGCCTTCCTTAATGACCCCATTGCATTCTTTTTGTCTTCCTCAGAGACAACAATATCAGATGCTGTACAAATAAAACCATTATTAACATAAAATATAGTAATAAAAGCTTAAAAAAAACAGCATCCCCAAATTTCCCCATGTAATAATACGATTAAGCTTTTAGTTTATCAAAATTATAAACCAATAAATCAAAACATGCAAATCAAAGGGTAAGATGAATAAAAAGGAAGACCTTAGTTTTGAGATAAATTATAAGACACGATTTGAGGCCGGGTAATCTTCCTGATGTACCAATGGATTCCCAAGACTCAAATGTCTGCACAATGATATCATATTTCATATGTTATATCACCAGCATTCAAAGATGGGTATGAGAAGTGGGGAATCTAAAATTTTTAAGTTAAAGAAAATGAAAAACAATATACCTCTTCAAAGGGGAAGGGGAAGGCGGATGGGAGGGAGAATAATATAAAATAAACCCTATTTTTTCCTTTTATGGCTTATTTTTAGCGTCCTTCGAAAATGGCGGGGAGACAACCAAACAAAGGATTATGGTTTATTAAAATTTGTTGCAAGAAAAGAAGGAATGGGTTGGTTTTGTTTCTTTGATTTTTTTTTTATTTTGGAATTTGCTTTCTATTTATATGATGTTTTTAACCAAGTTTCAGCTTTCAACAACAGCTACGGCTTCGAACACTTTAGGAAAACTGAAACCGAAAGGCATGGCCTCTCCATTAATGTTCCCCCCCCCCCCTTCCCTTTCCCTTTCCCGACTTCACTGAGATTTTCTTTTGAACCAAGCAGTGTTTTCCTCTTTTCGCGGCAAATTCATACGAAACTTGCATTTGGATTCCTTAGGTCTATCCATGTCTAACGGAAGGATATGGGCTAATTTTCTCTTGGATAAACTACACGTTCAGTACTCCGACTATTACTCTTGTTTAGTTCACTCAACTATTATTTAATCAAAATCATTATTTTTAATTTATTTTAATCATTTATCGTTAAAAATTAATAGTAATGCACCTCAAAATTAATGATATGATGTGAATTTTCTTCTACTAAAGTTAGTGAAGTTGAAGCTTAGCTCTCACTTGCTTATCTTTTAGTCCTAATTAGTATGGAAATATTAAAGGTAATAGAAATAGTAGGACTATAATATTAAGATTCAAATTTTATTATTAAATAACACTTTATAAGATTGTATCAACTAAACCTAGAACATATCCTATTGACGATGTGACATACTTAATGATATATAATGCAAATACAGGTCAATCATTTAGCCCCACTGAATATAGAAAAATATGGTAATTAGTGTATCCCACATCAGCAGGACAGATCAGTTTTGAAGCTGAAAGGGTCCCTTTTTCTCCTATTATTATTGTGTTTTTGTATAAAGCATCATTTAATTACGGGGTAAGGGATCCTTTTTCTCTATTATTAATGTCTTTTTCTCTGAGTCGTTCTTTATTCTTACAAATAAACATCACCTTCACAATTTCAACACCCAATTTGGTAGTGGGCTATGATAAATATATGAGACAAAATTGGGAGACTTTCGGCTCAAAGTACACATTAATAATTTATAGTAATTCACTTATCTTAATGCACATATGGTGGGTGTATGTCTGAAATTTTATTGATTGTATATATTATGAAAATTTATTTGTGCCAATTTCATATAAAAAATTATATTATATATATATATATATATATATATTTATATATGTGTGTGATTATTTTAAAAATATTTTTGAATCTATTATTGAATATAAATTTTACTCGCAAAATCTACGTGATTGATAATGACCATAAAGTTATTTGATGTTTACCAAGTCTAGAATAACAGCAAATAAATGGGAATGTCCCAAGTTATTTGATGTTCTTTTCATAAGCTGCACCATTATATTGTTATAGTAACTTGTGAATTGGATATGTCATTAAGCTTCATAATCCAAATGATATCATATAATTAGTAGTAACCCATTTACATGTAAACTTCTAAAATACTGAAATCACTCTGTAAAATCATTATATTACTCTGGCTGGCATGGTATGATTTCAAGAGACTTGTGTTCCATTTTTGGTTCTCTGGGTTCTTTAATCTCCAGTTTCTTCAAGGCCTCAGCCTTCTCAAATTTCTTTAAGGCCTCAGCCTTCTCGAATTCGTCATCTTCCACTTTCTTCCGCTTGAGGAAACTCAGAAATCCTTCGAGTGCAGCATCGGCATCTTCGTTCTTCATTAGCTCTTCAGCAACTTGTGCAGGAGTCACCTTTGTAGCTTCCAGCAACTCTTTGATATTGTTGAATAGCCGGTGTTCGCCTTCGACCCCTAAGTAATTCGAAGCCAAAACACTGAAAGCCTGCATAGTGCAGTATGACATGTTAATATGCAAGTCCATTCTTCCGGGACGCAACAAGGCGGGATCGAGCCGGTCCTTGTGGTTAGTGGTGAGCACAATGATTCTCTCGTCTCCGCAACTCGACCAGAGACCGTCGATAAAGTTCAACAGTCCAGAGAGTGTAAACTGCAAAGATTCAACTCATTAAAAACACTAACACGGGAAAAATATGCATTCAATTACCTGGAAAAGTAGAAAAAGTTGTCCACTAACCTGCTTGTCTTGGCCACTACGCTTATGTCCGCTTACCCGTGGACGATCAGGTAGATTCACAGTACAATCAATATCTTCAATCACTAGGATCGATTTATTTGCAATGTCGAGCAACAGCTTCCTCAAATCCGAGTCAGTTTTATGTTCTCAAGCTGCAAATCATAGATATCAAACTTCAAGTAATTAGCCATGGCAGCAACCAAGCTTGATTTACCAGTACCTGGGGGTCCATACAACAAGTAACCCCTCTTCCATGATCGACCCACTTTTTTATAGAACTCCTTCCTCCTAAGAAACCTATTCAAATCCTCCACAATCATGTTTTTAAGCTCTAAATCAAGTGCTAAAGTCTCAAACGTAGATGGATGTTCAAGCTTGATAGATTCCCACTTGAACCTGCAAGAGTAGTGAGAATTCCCCAGAGTATGTATCTTCAAAACCCTTGCTTCACTCTCAATCATCTCAGCAGATTTCAGAACGAAAGGCAAGTAAGAATTCAACACCATATCCCTATGTTTCTTCTTGAACCTTAACTCGAAATATCTTCTTTCGACCACGTTTGAATCGCTAATACGGTTACCTTTTTTGTCCACTTCATAGCAAACGTGTCTCCATTTGAGTTCAGCCCCATGGAAGGAATCTCCGATTCTCTGGCCCTTGTCCAGCCTGAATGACAAACCCTTGTCTTTCATGCGTTTGCTGACTTTGAGTCTTCTGGTGTCTGGACTGATCTTGGTGCTTAAATAAACCTCTGATGCATTGAAAACATGGTTGGGTTCGATCCCGTCAGATTGTTCGATAACAATGGTTTGTTTATCTGAACAAAACCTGAACAAGTAACTCAGAGCAGACGATATGTGCCTTCGAAGAGGATTTGGGATGAGATCGTTGAATATGGATCGAAAGAGCATCAATGAAGCACTGATTGAAGCATAGGTAGCGAAAGCTGAAGTTGCAGAGGGAAAAATGGTGGAGAAAGACTTTGGGAACTTGTTGAATCGAAACGAAGAAGAAGAGTGGTTACTTGGATTACAGGAAAGCATGGTGGAAATTTGTTTTCTTTTTTGGTTCCTGCTATTGTTTGTTAAGAGGTTGAAATGGCTTTATAGAAGAAATATTAGCAACAAAAGAAAAGCCCTCAAAAAGCATGATTTATTCATGGTAAATGCATGTCTGACATTACAACTGGTATTCACCATCATCGACCAAGACCAAAGACCAAAAATTGCCTCCAAACTCGAATGGATAAAATATGATTAATCTTTAAAAAAAGACATTTTTCTATACCCATATTCAATCATACATTAGTTATAAATGTCACAACTCTCTTAGTTTACAACGCCAAGAATAGTGGTTAACATCAATTACCCTATAAATCATCAAAATGTTCTAATAATACTTACAAAAACAGGTATAATAGCACAAAATATACCAGCAATTTTATTTTCTTTTATAGAAAAAGAAGGCAAGTGTGATAATAAATAAATAAAATAATTCTATGATAACAAGACTTGATATTGATATACTATATATGATGAAACAAAGTAACTATAAAATTACAAAGAAAGTACTGTGCCTAATACTTACACTCCTGGACGAACAAACATTCATCACTAGGAGGAAAAAGAACCCAAAAACCTCATGTATATTTGCTCTGTTTCAGACAAGCAAACATGTTTTGTCAGTTTCTAATGTGTCTTCTCGTAAAGATCCTACGGATTTGGTCGAGCTTGTCGAGCAATGATATTAGCTGTTGAAGAGCTCTCGCTTAGAACAATCTCAAATCCATCCCTGAATGAATCCATGCCTTCACTTAATAGTTGCCAAAACAGACCACCACCAGCTGGTCCACCTCTTTTAGCTGATCAGTACATCTTGTACTAGACAAAGTTGAACAATTGGTCTCTCTTATAAGTGTTGAAATCGGGGTCCTTGCATGATTTTTGGAATTCCGTGAAGAGCATCGGCTTTTGGAGGATGGATTGTGCGTGCCATCTTGTATGTGAGCATCGAGCCAGATGTTTAGAAACGAGAACTGAAATCCATATTTTGAGCGGCATAACTTATTAATGTATGAGGAAACTTAATTTCATGAGCAGAATGCTTAGATTGTTTTTTAAGTTTTACATGATAGTTACCATTGATCAGGAAATGAATGGACTGTAGCAAAATCCATGGCGGGAATCAGATTATTCGCAATGAAATCTGTTCCGATATCCAAGCTGGGATTAAGTTTCTTCTGCTGAGGAGTTGATTGTACATAAAATCCTTCTAAACCAGCTTTTCCACCAAGTGGTTTCTGTCAATGGATTTGACATGAGAAGCCATTTCCATTATCCAAGCCTATCAATGAAGCAAATCAACATCTGAAAGTTACAGTGAATTACTGCACCCTGAAAAGCTAGAAATGAAATGCTAATGAACACATTCATAAACCTGAACAATCCTTCCTGAAGAATCTAATGTGCATCTAGGCTCATTCCCATGCCAGTATCGTATTGGTCGGATCATCTTTGTAACGGATCCAAGTAAAGCTGTTATATCTGTTAAGAACAGTCTGCAAAAAGAGAATCAGCTTTATTAGCTCGGGAGAAGTATAGGAAATGACAATCCGATATCAAATACCGGAAAGAAAAGTGGATTCGTACCGTTACATGAGTCTTATAGTATCCCTTAACAGCAGGATTTATGAAGAAATCATCATCGGATATGACGTATTGTCTTTGACTTCTTGCCCAGTTTACATATTGTTTATTTCCCCCAAAGCTGTCATAGTTATTAGCTAAGCTCAGGATGAGCTTGATTTATATTTTCTGGCCTCAGCTATTACAAAATCCAGTCCCTTAGAAACATTCCGAAACAAAGAAGATCCCAGTCGTATCAGTACATTAAAGATATACAAAGTAAACGATAAAGGACTCTACATAGAAAGATACCTTAAACATTTGTTCATTATATGAACCTGGTGCATACTGTAAAGGTATATAACCACTCACTGAAAGCCCCAGTTCTAGCCACCATGAGAGCGTGCGTTGCAGCATCACGAAATGCGGCCAAGACATTAGATCTTTCAGATGGATCCGAAGCTACAAACATCAACCAGTAGGCATTGAAACCATTTGCATAGTAAGGGTTACCATTCAAAAGGAAACAAATTCCTCTGGTCCTTATAAAGCCATCCACAGCAGCTTCAACATGGGGAGTGAAAACATGTAGGTTGAACAGAATGGCAAGAAAAAGAACCAAAGTTGAATGCTTAATTTTTGTTTCTCAGTATTTTTTTTTTACCCGAGTGGAGAAGTAAGTCTTGCAGAAGAATATAAAATGAAGGGTGCTGTTTGAAAGTTGCAGAAAGTAGATTAGGCTGTTAAAACAGTGTCTTTTACTGTTTCACATGGCCATTATGCAGATGATCATTGAAATGTTGATCATTTGTCTGAATGCAAACGGATGGGAAACAAGTGGGGTTAGAAAGATAAGGCAAACAGTAACATTAGATTGTTTAAGTTGCCAGAAATGAAAATGAAATAAAGAACATGAACCCCAATAAGATACAGAGATGATCTTTTTTTTTTCCATGGAAATCTTACTAATTCCTTATTTGTCTTTGGCTTTGCAGAGAAGAGAAACAAAAAGATTGAACAGTTTCAATCTAAGCAAATGGAACAGAAGCAATCTTTTTCACTGCAATGAAATGTGAGAGATTTGCACCATTGTGACATCTCCAATGCTTTGTTTTTCATGACCCTCCATTAAAATCCTTTTAGGCTAAGGGATCACTTCACTTCCATGTTATTCTTATTTAGTGGTCCTGTTGTGGAGTACATGTGCCAATGTCCATCAATGATCCATCTCTCTTGATTTGTCATTCACTCAGAGAGGGTAAGAACTAAGAAAAAAATACACCTTTGCCTTGTACTCTATCACATCTCTTATATGAACTTTTAACTTTGCCCTTTCACACACACTGTTTAAAGCACAACACTTGTTTATATATCATAAATTTATACATTTTATAGCATTTTGATCATGCAATCACACGACTGATACTTACAAGTATCGAATGCACCAAACCTGACCCGAATGTCATTGTTATGGTCTTGAGTTTTTTATTAGTTCAACTCATCAAAGGAAGACTAACTGAAATCTCAAGACATGTTAAAAGAGAAACCAAGATATCTTAGGGTTTTTGATAAATTCTAACTTGCATTTTATTAATCATAATAAATAGAGGTTGCATACCTTGTGAAAATAAAAGACCTAATAAAGCAAGCAATCCCTTGCTACTAAATAAGATCTTAATAATAATAAACTTTCAATGAATCAATATTAAACTAACTCCTAATAAAATACTAATAAATTGATAAACTAATAATAATAAAATAATTAACACGAACAATAATATTGGCGACAAAAATAACTGTAACAATTATGGAAACCAATTATGGACATCAGTGACCTCGCCTTCATGGATTTTTATGTGCTGAGTAGTTTACTTCTTAAGCACTCCATCAAGAGATTTGACCTCTAGATGAATGTAAGGCAAATATGGATTATTCATGTTTAAAATTTTAATAAATAAAACGATTTACATTATATTTATATCTGCATAATGACAAAAAAGAATGACACTCATCCTAATCATAGGGTTGACAAATTCTTAATAATTGATGTATCATATTCCATTTAACTGTTTACCAAATCATCGATATAATGCAACGAGGAAAAGTGGCCAAAATCAGGGTAACATTAACAAAGAATACATTTGATAATTCATGTCCTCCTAGATTGCCGGGGAAGGAAGCAACTCAAATATTATATTGATTGCACTATACATCCTCAGATCAGATATCTCATGACTACTCAATTAAAGCAAGTGATAACTCCGTAAAAATACTACTTTTAAGGCCTTTTTTCACTTAAGTTATTGTTTAAGGGTTCATACAGGTAATTTTAGATTCATGTAGTTGCATTTGTGATGGTTGTGTTATTTTTACTTTGTTAAGGTGCTATATGATGGGAAAGGTATGGTTGGTTAGTGATGGTTAGTGATATGCAGGAAACAAGGAGCATATGACAAGCTGAGAAGAATGTCGCGACATTACATGTTGCTAAAGCAGACTGAAATGTCTTGGCATTTCTGGTGTAAAAAAAGACGGAGATTTTTTCACAAGAGGACAGCTGTCAAAGCACGTTTTTGCTGCTGATAACCGTCTGAATGGGGTCTACTGCGACCTGTAGAGATAAACTTCATGCACAAGGAATGAATTTGGGGTATGATGGGTATTTTGAGTGCAAAATTCCCAAGAATACCCTTGGATATTTTTTATTTAAAAGGACACAACACAAGAGAGAGGGAATATAAGGGAGAGAGCTTGGAAAAAATCCATCATCATCTTCTCCATTTTCTCTACCTCAATTACCGTTCTTCTTTCTCCATTTTTTTATTGGTGTTCCTCCATTGGTGAAGCTCGAGGGAGTGGCGTAGTATCCGAGAGGAGCTCAAGCTATAGTTGTTCGTGGTGGTTTGAGGGAAGTGCCGGCCGTGCACACCTAGTGCTTTCTTCGCCAACTTGTGCTCCATTGTTAAAGCTTGAAACTTTATTTGGGTTGTAAGGTCGAATGAACGATTGGGTATATTCTATGGTTTGTTCGAACTCCACCATGAACTAAACTGTATTGGTGGGGTTCATTCGATGGATGTTTGAAACTTTATTTTAATGGTTGATAAATGTTTATCTTTTGTTTTTACTTATTTTGTTTATGTGTGCTTCATCTTCTAAGATTGTAGGAGGCATGAGAGTATTCATTTCTTAGATGAAGACTAGATGGTAGAGAGAAATCTAGTTATTAATTCTTAAGTATTCGAGAGAAACTTAAGTATGATTAACATAAACAATGGGATATAGTTAATCATTATAGCCTAATCTCTTAGTACTCGAGAGAGACTAAGCTAGGATTTCAACGACTAAGAGGGGTAGTGCGTCTTCAATAGTGTTGGTTGCCATAGTTGAGACTGAGAGGAGATGTCGTGGTATTCTATTATGTTAGGTTCTTATGACTAGAGATAGAAATAACACTTTTAGCAAACTCCGTCGAACAAGTAAAGCATTAGAAGACTAAATCAACTAGAAAGATAAGTTTTCAGCTCCTTAAGTGACTCCCCACCATTCATTCCCGAGGTAGTTTCCCGTGTGAGGATTATCAAGACATTCCAATTATTTACTATATTTACCATTTTACATTACCTTGGCATTTTCATCATATTCATCAGTATAAACTGCTCTTTTGCCACGACATTATTCACTCAGTCACACTCTCTCACCATAATTTCATTCTCTCACATTTTCATTGTCGAAGCATCATCAATGTATATATCATTTTTATACTTAGATAAATTAGTGTAGTGTTGTGGTCAAACTCATAATTTCCACAAATCCATGTGGAGACGATACTCACTCATCACTTTATTACTTATTGCGATTGTGTATACTTGCACATCATTTGTGTATAATTTATTAGTACTCACAACACGCAACAGCAGGCTTGAGAGAGTGCTATTATTAGTATTCACAAGGAAGTAATAATGTATTTGGGTCTTATTCAATTGCTATGATGATCAATACGAACAGACGGTTCTCACAAGCTATAGTACTGAGTGATTAATAATTATTACTTAGCTGTTGGATTATCATCTGAACCCTTGGAAATGCTATCAGAAGATGATCCTTTCCCTGTTGGGGTGTAAGACCACGCCAAGAGCGCTGTCCCGAGGGTAATTGCGGTGGCAACCGAACCCCAGACCCATCTCTGCCTTCTTTTCTTTCTTTGTCTGTCACGCCGAGCCATCTCGGTATGAAATGATAAATTTTAAGTCTTGCAAATATCATGCAGCATATGTAAACATGTAAACTACATGTTTTGCTAAGGAAAGAAAAATAATGGGGCACAAAATCCTCACCTATTGCCTCTTGGTTCCTCCGAGACATTTCTCGATTCACGATCTCATAGTAGTGCAGACGGTCCAATAATTGAGCAATTTCAAAGTTCTTCGATTTGATTTGAGCTTCCATCTTCATCTCCATCTCTGCCCTTGTGATGCCTCTTCCCACATATAATGATACAAATCGTGCAGCAAACACTTGTTGTCGCATTAAGAAGATCCACATGCAAGGACAATCCCACATCACCCAACTCTTGGCCGATTCTTCGCCACTTAGATTGCATCTTATTTAGAGCCTCTTCTGTCTGCTTCCCCTTTTCTATCTCTGTAAGTAAACTCAATCTTATTTCCTGCAGTTCAGCTTCAATGTCACGATGAATAGTCTGTGGTGCATTCCCACGGGATAATTCTGGAAGAAACAAGAAATCTAAGCAAGCTAGCCATAACAACAACAACGTCATTAGACTAGGCAGATACTGTGGGGAAATTTTACGTATTTCTCAATAATTTCACCAATTCCATACCTATAAATATGAATGCATGAACCTATTAAATAAACAAGAAAGCTAGCACAAACATTCGTATCATGCTCCAAGTAAAAACATATCAGGTTTTAAAAATAAATGACAGTCATGCAAGAAAAAGATTAATATATGTGTGTGAATCTACTTATTAATGTCATATACGGTTGAAAATAACATACCATCCCATGCATCAAAAAATTCTACCCCTGCTGCAGCAATCCTTGCAGCACTTTCAGCCCCAGTATCATCTCCTGCCTCATTATTACTTGTGACACTCATCGATTCATTCGGATCAAAGAAATCTTCACAGTCGCTACATATGTCCAAGTTCAACAGTCCAACCTTCAGCACAGCATCCATGAGTAAACCATTATTTATCTGGCTGCTTCTAACTTCACCATCATGGAAACCATTTGTGTGCACCTCCTGAATGTAACTGCCATGGACACCATTTTCCGACTCTATGTTCATAGGACAAATATGGGGGGCACCATTCTCATGTTCCTCTTCATTAGGTTCAGAAATGCTAAAAGCAACCAAACCATCCTTGAGTTCATCAACAGGTTTGCTTTCGTCCAACTTTGCTTTCCCATTAATCTCATCTTCTTCAAGGATCTTTTCCAGAGATGATACACTGGCCTCAGAAAAGCTCTTCGCTTGTGATTGATGATGTAAGGAGAAGGACAGAAAGAAGATGGTGAATTGCCTCCGGAGTAGCATAGAGGGAAGGTGACATTTGGGGGCGGTTTACCTTCCTTTTTACTGATGTACTGCTGCTCCTCTCCATCTTTGAGTTAGTAATAGGCTTTGGGTGGATAGGTGGTTTTAAAGTAGAACTGGAGTTCTCGACAGGTTTGGAGGCTCCAGGTTCTAACAACCTATCAAAAGCTATAGCAGTAAATGTTGCCATGGCTCTGCATGATCAAACAACAAAAGCTATAGTTACTAAACTACACGTCATTTCAAACAACAAAAGCTATAGTTACTAAACTACACGTCATTTCCTTACGACCGAGAAGGCCCTTGAGGAAAGGCAACAAAGAAAATCCCATTGCTGCTGCATTTGGAAACATTCTACTTTTCATGAACTTGAGGCAATTCAACCAATTAAGCTTAAAGTTGTTAACTTTTAGTTGCAGCAACTAATTAGCCACAGCTTTTCTATGATAGAAAGGAATATTACCCACACATTAACTCTTCTAAATACTTGCAAAGGCAAAAAGCAAATCTCGTAGTTGCTACATTTGAAAACATTCTACTTTCCATGAACTTGAGAAAATTCAATCAATTAAGCTTGAAGTTGTTAACTTTTAGTTATAAGAACCAAATAGCCACAACTTTTGTGTGATAACAAGGAAAACAATGGATTATCTAAAATTCAAATATTAATACTTGTAAAGGCTTTCATTGTTGCAACATCGAGAAATGAGAACATTTTACTTTAATGAACTTGAGAAAATTCAAACAATTAAGCTTAAAGCTGATAACTTTTAGTTGTGACAAATAAGCCACAACTTGTGTATTATCAAGGAAAATAATGGATAATCTAAAATTCAAACATTAATGCTGGAACTAGTTTGCTCATTTTGAATCAGAAATTTCATAGCTAAAACAGTCGTCTATACAAAACTAGACAATTGAAAAAGTCAATCAAAAAAATATCATGTTAGACACAGCTAAATTAAAACTCATGAGAATTCATCTTCATTTAACAGCAGCCACACAGAACGGAAAACTGAAGAAAAACAGAGATTTTTTAACGTACAAATATATTTCTAAGTTAATTAATTCAAAACATAACGGAAATTATAGAATAAAAAGGCTTTGAAAAAAAATACAATATACTTCATTGTTTAAAAAGAATTTACAAACCGATAAATAACACGAACACCAATATGAAATTAAAAAGGACAAAATTCATTAAATATTTTCCGATTTATTTGAACATAAAAACTTGAACGATTCAAAATTACATATTTCTTTTCAAAGCTCCGTTTAGAAGATAGAAAAGCAACGCATCGACAACAATACAGAGCTAAGAGCAGCTAATTCAAAAACTGGAGAAACCATTTCAAAATTACGAAAAACCTAAACATAAATTATTACATTGGCTTCCATGTATACCAAAAAAAAGAAAGGAAACACGTTACCTTAAATGCTGATAAAGAGATAATCCTTCAAGAAGTTACGACGAGGCGTGAGCAGCGGTGATAGTGGTGGAGAAGGTGCAGACGGTGGCGCGTCGAGAGAGAACCCGTTAAGGAAAATGAAGATTAAACGTCACCTCCATTTCCTTCCTCAAATATTTGAAACGTTTTCTATTCCTGGGCCGTAGCTGTGAATTATGGAAGTGTCGAATTTAACCTTGATTAGAGATGAAAGGAGGATCAGTTGGGAAGGAATAGTCTCGGAATTTGGTATATGTGTCTGTTCAAATTCTACCCCTCCCAAGTGTTAGGAAGATAAACCCGTGATGGTTAATATGCTGAACTTTATCGGTCAATTTGGTGATACACTTAATGAAGATGCTATATAATATGTATGTATTTTCTTGGAAGTATATGATTCATTTCGACAATAAGAAATACATGAAGATGTGTTCAAACTGAAGTTTTTTCTTTATTCCTGACGTGATAGAGCAAGAGCTTGGCTCAGTTCTTTCCGAATCAATGGAGTCATGGGCAGATTTATACAAGAGTTTCCTATTCCGGAGTCATAGAGGTATGTCGACTTGTCGTTCTGTGATGTAATACGATGTCGTTTACGAGCGAGCAGAAAAATTAAAATTTCCAATTAAATTTGGTACTTTGTTGATATCTACATGTGTGTGTGGTATTTTAATAAATTTAAATCTAATAAAAAAATATTAAAATTTAGAATAAATATCAACTGTATGTTAAATATATTATATTAAAAGTATCGAAAGATTTATACTAATGGAAAATTAAAATTATTTATAAACTTTAATAATATTTTTAATAATATTATTCATAAAATTTTTAAATCAATTTAATATCACTTCCATATCGATATATAAATATAATATTTATTTACATTCAAATGCCAAATGTTTATGCAGAGAAAACATTGTTGAAGCCTTAAACTTGCACATTTCATTTTTATCTTTTTTTTTTGATGAAATAACGAGGGGAGCTAGCACTCAATGCTCTTCTATCGAATTACAAGCACGTGAGTCCTGTTGTAACAAGTTAAGCACTTCCAATGGTGGAGTATAGAAAACCGTATGATCTGAGCCTCTTGCTATGGCTAGATTGACTAGTTTATCGGCCACCTTATTCGCATCCTTATTTATATGCCTCAAAGTAACCATCAATTCCTGCTTTAATAACTCACTAACCCAGTCGAGCAAAGTAAAACTTGACCCTTTATTAGCATTTCTTTTAGCATCCGAATGACCTCCAAGTTGTCTGCTTCAACCATAATTTTTATCTTTATTTTCAATGTGTATTTCATTTTTTTCCTTATCATCAATGTGCAAAGTCTAAGCTTAAAATGATGTTTAAATGAAACTATGGTCAATTATATTTATTTTATAAAAATAGGTTACTTAAACATAAATTATAAAATGTTATAAAGTTATAATAATGCATTAAAAATATTGATAATTATATTAATGTATTTATAACATAATTAGAAAATTAATATAATTTTATTTATATTGTAGTTGGTGTTATAAATATATTAATATATTTTATAATTTCTATTATAAATATTTTATAAAGTTTTTTAGTAATTTATGTTATAGATGTATTCTAATTATATTCTTATATATCTTAATTGATGTAATAGTTAATGTTATCAATATTTTTTTATTAATTACATTTATTTTATAAAAATATATAAAATATAATATTACCATTATTTTTATAAAATATTATTAGAATATGGTTTATGTCATAATATAATTAATTATATATATTTTATGAAAATGTATAGCTTATAATCTAAATTATAAAATGTTTTTAACAAATATTATAAATATATTATTATATCATTTTATATTATACCATAAGATTGGACAGTTTAAATGGATTTTTTATCAGGTACTTTTGTAAAATACCAAATTGAATAAAAAGTTAAAGAAAAAAAATCTCAAAGTTTGTTATGTATATGGGCTCATAACCAATTCACAAACAGTAAAAATGCTAACATGGGCCCTCATTTTTGCTACCTTTTGTCACTCAAGAAATAACTCATCATTAATTTGTTATATATTATCAACCAAAATCACGATCCATGAATGCTAATAGATGGACCAATGGCTCTGATTCTAATTAAGACCCAACTTTCTCACCATCTGATGATAAGTATTGGCTTGAAATTTCACTGGTCATGGAACATCTTCAAAGATGAATTATTATATAAATCCCATGATTTTAAACTAATAAAGTGATATTGTATAGAAAAGGTTTGGTCCCACAAATCAGAGTAGATAAGTGGTTGAATGTTCCGATTTGAGCAGGTTTTCCAAACTATTGCTTAGAATAACATGAATGCGCTAAGATTACGGATTCAAGTTGGGTGTTATGAGCAAGTTACGTTAGGAACTTAAAGGGTCAAAGGACACAAATAACGCACTTGTCTGGAGAAATTTACCTTATCCATTCTCAACTTGATAGTGGTTTAGGGGATGACCTCAACGTAGTATATGAGAAATTTCAGGCAAAACTTTAAAAATGGAATTAAGCTTTCACCACGAACAGCATACTGTCAGCACAGTTCTTTTATTTTATTGGCGGTGAACATAAGAAGCGACTCACTGCTCATTACAACCACACAAGACCACCTTACATGACTTGCACATCTAGTTGCCTGCCAGTCTAGCGACTACCAGGTTCAACTTCAAAATCCAGAGAATATAGCAGTAGTCAAGTGCCTGAGTCAGCAGTCTGACTCAATTTTAAACCCTTCGGCGAGGCCATACCCCATAATTATGGAACTGAAATGCACCCATTTTCTGAAAATCCTTAGATCATAACAAAATTATCCAATAATGTGAATCTCGAGAATTATCCTAGACAGGTATTATGACTCCTAAGCATTTTTGGGGAGTTTATCAGGAGAACGTTATCAGGAAGGAAAGCTCGGGAGGTGTCTCACAACAACCCCAAGCATTGAATCATACTCCTCATCACGACGAGCAATTTCTTGCGCAGAACCTTCTCAAATGTCAACGAAGCGTCCACAAACCTCTCCACATGGGATCCTAGTGTTCTGCCTCAAAAGAGCTCCAGCAGCAACCATGGCATGCTTCTCAACATAAACTCCATCTAATAGGGTAGCCCCCATACCAACAATTCTTCATCCTCAACAGTGCACCATGTAAAACAGCACTATGACCTGTCCAAGTTTTATCAGTAATTACATCTTCAATTAAAACTGCAGACAAAAGACCACTTTAAAGGACAGTCATTCACCCACAGTAACATTACTACCAATAATAGTTGGTAAACCTTCCCGCTCAAGTTAGATTTTGCAACATGAACAAGGGTGTTATCTTGGATATTTGTCCCAGATCCAATGCTGATGTTATGACATCACCTGCACATATCAAAAGTCAGATTCAGAAAATAGCAGCTGTCTTGGACTTGCCTTGCACAACAGACAGAGGAAAGAAGCAAAGTAATTACTGAGAAAGTTAAAAAAGATACAAAAAATGAGAACTTTTACATTAATCTCATTTCCATTAGGGCAACAAAAATGGATGGATAAAGAATCAGTCATGGATTTTTGAAGTCTTCTCTAATTACTTCAAAAGCTAGGTAACTTTTATCAACAAGAAAAAAAAGCTAGGTAAAGTCATAAAGCAATTATTAATTTTGGTCATCAACCATAAAAAACATAGTTTCATAACAAGTTTCTAACATCTCCACCTCAACACACAAATTCTTAATTCAGTACTTAGGCCACAAATAGAACATGGATATCATGTAGCCACATAATTGCTTTAACTTATAAAACATCATCAGTGTTCTCAAACATGGATCTTGTTGGTAAAAGTTTCATATTAGAAATTATGATAAAATTCTAATTTCTAAAAACATTTGTTACATGCCTGCAATAAAGTAACAAACCATCATTACTTCATTTTCCCAAACAAGACTATTCGAACTATAAATAATCCAAACCATAAACTTGATAAAAACAAAAGAGCAGCAAGTACTATTGGGGTGTCAACTGTCAACCATTCATCACTGATTAAAAATTAGGTTGCTTACCTCTCAGAAGCATCCATACCAGATAGAAGAACCTCGTCCGAACCTCAACATCGCCTATGATAGAAGCGCTAGGTGCCACAAATACATCCCTATCAACAGCAGGGCTTTGTCGAACACGTTCATCAGCGTCCGATGCCTCGACTGAAACAACCAAATCCAAACAATTCCAAGAATCAGCCATACGTGGTCAAGATCTACCAATGTAGTTTCGAATTCCGATTGATGAGAGCATGGTTATTATATCACGATATTACATAATTGCATCTAAAATGAAGCTAAATGCGTAGCGATTCGATCCAGTAGTAAAACTGAACGAGAAGTTAGGGTTTTACGGTACCTACGTTGTTCTTGGAAGTAGTAGCTGCCTTGGACACGACAACCAAGGCGATCGAGGGCTTGGCCGGTTCTCGGATCCAGAATCCAACGGTGTAGATTGCTTTCCCCAGTGTTCCCCTCTCGGTCTTCTTATATTTTAGGAGACGATTTGAAGCGTTTTCTTTATAATTTTTTCAGCTGAGAAAGTGAAGCTTTGTAACTGAAGATGAAGTGTCCCCAGCGTTCAGCGACCATCTTCTCGTTACATACGGTTACTTGTCCTACAGTTTCTCATCGTGAATCGATCACCTTCTGCCACGTGTTATTTCTTACAGTAGGACGCTATGTATGAAACGTGGTATCCTTTTCTCTTTGTTTTGGAAAACTTCGAGGGTCAAAAATAATTTAACCCAATTCTAATTGAATATTGATTTATATGATTATTTTTTTATAATAATTCTTTTGGAAACATGTAAATCTATGATTATTAATTTTCAATAGAAAATTTATCCTCTTTTCTTTACTATTATTGAGTTATGTTATCCCTTTTAGTAGGAAACTTGTATTTTAAAGGGTAAACTACGCCAGTGGTCACTCATGTTTGGAGTAGTTTTAGTTTTCACCACTGATGTTTAAAAAGTTACAAATCGATTACTAACGTTATCGTTTGTTACAAAATGGTCACTCGACGTTAACAGCCGTTAATAGGCGTGACAGAAAACACAGTTGGACCGTTATATGCTGACATGGATTGTTGACTGCCACAGCTAGACCATTTTGACCGACTCTTCTTCTTCTTCAACCCAACCCCGTCTTCTTCCTTAACACCATTTTATGCGCACACCATGCAAGACACACTCCCTTTTATCCCCCAAAAATAACCCTTTCCCTCCCTTACTTCAACACCACCACCATGATTTCCCTGCTTTGCATAACTTCAGTCATTCTACTGTTGGGACCTAGAGATAAATTGTTGAAAACATTTTGATATTTCGATATAACAAATTAAGTTAAATGAATTTTAAGATTTTCCAAAATGATTTTCTAAAGTATGTTCGATAAATTTATTCGAATATAAAAACATTACTCCAAATATTTCAAAAATCATTTTTAATCCTTACTTAAGTGTAAAATTAAGTTTTAATCTTAAAACAATTTCAAAATAATCTTTCAAAGTATTTCGAACCATTTCAAACCCAAAATTTCCAGATTGCTCAAAGGGAACCGATTCCCTCCATAGGGGGTACCGATTCCCCCTGAATGGTTTGACTCCGAGATTTCCAGATGCTCGGAGGGAACCGATTCCCCATAGGGGTACCGATTCCCCCTGTTCAACGTCGAAATATTGAATTTTACACTTAGGAACCGATTCCCTATAAGGAGGAACCGATTCCCCCACGCTCCAAGCTGTTTATTAATTGTTTTCACACTATACGGCTATATTATCTTCATTAATTATCCCCAACGTTCAGAAGTGATTCAATGTGTATTTAAACAAGTTCTGAAGCCCTTGATCAGCAAAATCATAGAGAAACAAGAGAGAAAGCATCAAACACAAAGTTTGTGCAATTCAAGCCAATTTTCATTCAATATTCATTTTGCTTTCAAAGAACACTTATTGTGCTCATTTGTAATTTTCTTTGAGTGTTCTTTTCTGTTCTAGAATTGTGCAACATCTTACCTTGTGGTTTTCTTGTAAGTTTGCAAATTTGTAATCTTCTCTTTGGGAAAAAGAGTGTTCTCAGAGTTGGGGTATACTCTTGAGGAATTGTAAGGTTATCTCTTGGCCTCAAAAGAAAGAACAAATTAGTGAATTTGTTGGAAATCCTTAGTGTGGATAGCTAAGGTAGTGGACTAGACTTTATTTGAGAAAGTCGAACCACTGTAAATCGCTGTGCAATTACTTTTAATTTTCTGCAAAAGCTTCCACAAAAATTTTAATTGCCAATTCACCCCCCTCTTGGCCGATTCCGTCAATCGATTAACTCAACAATTGGCATCAGGGCCTAACTCATTTGAAGTTTTATCGCCTCTTGAGTCGATTCGGGAAGAGTTATATCGATTATTAAAGTCATCAATGGCCTCCGCTTCAACTTCGACTCCGGTCTCGATTCGATGCCCGTCAACAAGCCTTCTTTCTTCAATGGAGCTAACTATGCCTATTGGAAGAATAGAATGATGTACTTCATTCAAGCAAGTGACATGGGAGCATGGAATGCTGTAAGAAGGATACATCAAACCTCTCACTCATCCAAGGTTGTGGAGTGAAGGAGAGACAAGAATGTTCCAGCTCAACTCCAAAGCTATCCATATTATTTTTGTGCTCTTGGACCAATACGAAGAGTTTCATCGTGTACAACCGCCAAAGAAATATGGGACAAACTTCAAGTCACACATGAAGGTACAGATGAGGTAAAAAATCAAAATTAGTATTCTAACGCATAGCTATGAAATTTCAGGATGAAACCAAATGAAGACATCAAGCTATGACGGATAGATTTTCAACAATTGTCAATAGTCTCAAATCATATGGAGAGATCATCTCAAATGAAAAGCTTGTGAGGAAGTTAGTCTATTCCCTCCCAAAATCATGGCAATCAAAGAAGACGGCAATCATCGAGTCTAAGGACCTATCGTCCTTAACTCTTGAAGAACTTATCGGTTCACTCCTCACTCATGAGATGATGCTCGAAGATGAGGTGGACCTTGATAAAGTTGAAGAGACACCAAAGGAAAAGGAGGAGAAGAAAAATTTGGAGTTGCTCTCAAATCCACAAAAGATGAGAGTGATTCTAATAATGATGATGATGACGAGGAAATGGCATTGTTTGCCAAACGGTTCAGAAAAATGATGAGACCTTACCAAGAAGAAAATTCAAACGAAACGAAGGCCTCAAAAAGAACCAAAGAGAAGGACTCAATCATTTGCTATGAATGCAAAAAGCCGGGGTATGTCAAATATGATTGCCCACAATTGAAGAAAAAGGGTCAATCAAAGAATAAGCACAAGGCTCATGTGGCTACATGGAGCGATGAAGAAAGTTCCGATGAAGAGGAACAAGAAGTAGCAAACTTGTGCTTGATGGCATTCGGGGAAGATTCTAAGGTAACCTCTAACTCATCCGATTTTGATGATTTATCTTATGATGATTATTTGAGGATAATGGGTTGGCTTCGGATTATGAGAAATTATTTTTAAATATAAAAATGATGTTTCAAAATTGAAAAATGAAAACAAACTCATATCCAAAACCAACAACGATCTTGAAAGTAAAATCAAAGATTTGCAAATCAAACTAAAGAGTTTGAAAAGAAAAATTTAGATTTGCAAAATTCACTTTCAAAGATCAATGATGATCATCAAAAGAAAATTGATGATCTTAAAACTTCTTTTGATAAAGTTGGAACAAAACATTTTGAAAGAGGTGGAAATTCAAAATCCAACTTTGTTAGAAAAAGTTTTAGAAACTACAATCATAGAGGTCCCCAAAGAACCTCTAATGGAAAAATCATTAGAAGTATGTGGGTTCCTAAAGAACTCATTACTACTAAAGATAAAAATATCCTACACAATGGATACCTAAGGGGACTAGGATTTTGGAAACTAATGAATATGGACCCAAAAGAATTTGGGTACCAAAAATAAAAAATTAATCTATGTTTGTAGGGAAATGAGCATTGCTACAAGGCACGGGAAACAAATTCAAACTCATGTACCTTGATAGTGGATGCTCAAGACATATGACCGGAGACAAAGCCGGTTCATTGAGCTTAACGCCAAAAGGGAGGAGAAGTGACTTTTGGAGACAATTCAAAAGGTCACATTGAAGGTATTGGTACAATAGGTAATACCTCTTCCATACAAATTAAGAATGTTTTATTGTGAATGGATTAAAGCATAATCTTTTGAGTATTAGTCAATTATGCGATAAAGGATTCAATGTCTTATTTGGTTGTAAAGTTATTGATATTGCATCTAATCGGTTATGCTTATTGTCATAGAATAGGAAACATTTACATGGTGCATTTAGATTCTATTGATATGACTAATTTATGCCTAGTTGCTAAGGATGAGCATGATAGTTGGTTATGTCATAGGAGACTAGGTCATGCTAGTATGAGTGTTTTGCAACGGTTAATTCAAGGAGACTTAGTAAGAGGTTGCCTAAGCTTAAATTTGATAATGATAAAATCTGTGATGCTTGTGCTAAAGGAAAACAAAAACGAGTTTCTTTTAAATCTATTAATGATGTATCAACTAGTAGAGTATTACAATTGATCCATTAGATCTTTTTGGGCCAACTAGAACTAGCTTGGGAGGAAAACAATATGCTTTTGTCTTGGTAGATGACTATTCTAGATACACTTGGGTTCTATTCTTAAGTACTAAAGATGAAGCTTAGAAAATTTCATCACATTTTCAAAAATAATCCAAAATGAAAAAGGTTACTCTATCACTAGTGTTAGAAGTGATAGAACTGAATTTAAAAATCTTGGATTCATTGAGTTTTGTAATTCTAATGGTATTAGCCATAATTTTTCAGCACCTAGAACCCCTCAACAAAATGGAGTTGTTGAGAGGAAAAATCGAACTTTAGAAGAAATGGCTAGAACCATGCTTTGTGAAAATAATTTGCCAAAATATTTTTGGGCGGAAGCCACAAATACCGCTTGTTATGTTGTAAATCGAGTAATGATTAGGCCAATTTTAAAGAAAACTCCATATGAAATTCTCAAAAATAAAAGCCTAACATTAGCTATTTTCATCCTTTGGATGTAATGTTTTGTTTTAAACAACGGTAAAGAAAATCTTGGCAAATTTGATGCTAAAAGTGATGAAGGAATTTTCTGGGTTATTCCTTAAATTCTAAAGCTTCGTGTATTTAATAAAAGAACTTTAGTTGTAGAAGAGTCTATACATGTTGTTTTCGATGATAATCCCCTTCCGAGGAAGGATTCTTCTGTTAATGATGATGTAGTGTACAAGCAATACGTTAGACATGACGTTGGAGAATCATCATCAAAGGAAGAAACAAAAGATGAGGAAACTCATGATCCCCTCGAGAATCCACCATTGAAGAAATGGAAGTATCTTTTCCAAGAGAGTACACTATGTCAAGGATGGTGAAATTATAGGTGATCCATCAAAGGGGTACTACTCGATCTTCTCTTAGAATATCTGTAATTATGTTGCATTTATTTTCATGCATAGAGCCTAAGAACATCAAAGAACATTAAAAGATGAACATTGGATTATGGATGCAAGAAGAATTAAATCAATTTGAGAGAAGTAAATATGGACATTAGTTGAAAGGCCTAGTATAAATCTATTGTAGGTACTAGATGGGTTTTTAGAAATAAACTGATGAAAGTGGTATTATAGTGAGGAACAAGGCTAGACTTGTTGCTCAAGGCTATACTCAAGAAGGCAGACTATGATGAAACATACGCTCCCGTAGCTAGATGGAAGCAATTAGAAGTTATTAGCATTTGCATGTTTCAATGAATTTAAATTATATCAAATGGATGTTAAAAGTGCATTTTTAAATGGTTTTATAAAAGAAAGTGTACGTGGAACAACCTCCAGGTTTTGAAGATTCAAATTTTCCGGATCATGTTTTAAAATTGACAAAAGCTCTTTATGGTTTAAAACAAGCTCTAGAGCTTGGTATGAAAGATTGTCAAATTTTTTAATTGAAAAGGTTTTTAAAAGGAAAGGTTGACACTACATTGTTTTTAAAGAGAAAAGGTAAAGATTTATTAGTAGTTCAAATTATGTTGATGATATAATTTGGTTCTACTAATGATGTTCTTTGCCAAGAATTTTCTAAGCTAATGCAAAGTGAGTTTGAGATGACATGATGGGGGAGCTCTCATTTTTCTTGGG